AATTAGCTGCACGATCTGCGGCGAAAAATTTGCAGTGAAAGTGACGGCCGCTGAAACGAATGAAACGAGAACGTGGCGATATCGCCATCTGCCCCATCTCGCTGTTCTTGGGTGTCCTTGGGCTAGCTAGCGATCTAGCTATTGTGTGTGGGGGGTCGATGTCTCCGACTGGACCAGAATTATTGCTGCGGAGTGATCGTCTATAGAGAAAGGACAGCAGCAGTACAGGTCGGTCGTGAGATGCTTTTCAGTAGGATATATCTACGTTAGGTTAATCTGCCGTGTGAAAGTACAGTTTCAGCAAAAGCAAGCGCTCATATAGGTCATTGGCTCCTTTCGTGTCGAGAAAAAAAGGTTACTGTGTTATTCATGCTGGCGCTCCAATGAGGTCATCCTATCCTATCCTATCTGTTCAGTTTAATTTGGTGCGTAGGGTCAAGCTGCCGCCTGCCGGAGAGGGCAAGCGCGGCGAATCTGGCTTTGGCTGTGTTTAGTTCAGCGTAAAGTTTAGATTTTAGTTAAAATTAAAGATGATGTAACTGAAAAGTTGTGTGTATATGACAGGTTGATGTGATGGAAAAAGACTGAAGTTTGGATCCAAACTTTAGATCTAAATACAGCCTTTGTTGTGAACCTATTCGGGTTCAGAAGTCAAGCTTGGAGTGGCAGCTGGTAAGCTATAGAAAATCTAGGCCGTTGGTATGCAAATGTGGTTTGGCAGAATCTCCCAGCATGATCTCCTAATTATGAAATGTTAACACTTTCAGGATCAAGAGATGGAGTGGTGGAAGTAGTTGGGTTCATAGAGTGTGGTCGAATCAAACACTGGTTTGAACCGACGACTATAGCTACAGGTTAGTTTGAGCGTTCAGATATGTATTATAAAACACAAAGAGCTAGAAGAACAATCAGAAGTCTACTGTTAGGTCCCATTTCTTCCATGTGCTAGATAGAACAGAGTAGGCTTGCTCGTTGACTAATTGTGACATCGATATTTTTCTCCCGCCACTAACCGAAATGCATTTGGTTTCATACTGACCTGACTCGGTTTGGCTTTGACCCTACCAGACATGGCATTTCCTAAGACGACGAGCACAGCATGAGATAATCAAGAGGGTGATTGCTAGTATACACGCTAACTCGTCAAATGAATTAGAGACCTTCTGAACAAATTAGCATGCCTGCCATTCTGCCAATGACACCTTGAAGATTCCGTTGCCCGTGAAGAGAAACCAAACAAACCAAGAGTTCTCGACAAGTGTATTTTGTCTTTGCTTTTGATGGGTTACGACTCTGTTTCTGTCTCCGATGAGGCAGGAGGTAGCTGTGCTCCCCTGCCCAATCGGTAGCTGACAAAAATTGCCACCGTCTTGGAACAGGATAGGACAAGATTGCTGGACATGTCAATGTAAAGCATAGCACATCGACGTGCGCGCCTGAATAGGTAGGTTGCCTTGGAATGTCCTGTTTTTTGTAAGCATAGGAGTTGTTTTCTACTAGTATTTGATTGGAATCCTGCCACGCAATGGTACAAATTAAGAGTAGAGTTTGCTAAACTCAAAGCTTAAACAATACGAGGATTGGACTCTGCAAGAGAATTATATTATTTGGTCTACAAAAATATTGTATTTCTTGTTCAAAAGGTTGGTGTCGTGGAAAGAGCAAAAAAAAGGATTAAGCTGGAGGAGGTGATTATTGCTTAATTTGTTAGTATTCTGATATGTTCTTTTAAGAATATGTTCTGATGTCTGCGTCATGTCCATCTTGCATAAAATGTTAGATGATACAAAAGTATTGTACAAGTAGTTCATATATCTATATATACCTATTTAAAAAATGCGTAAAGCTTCTGTTGAAATTTTCATCCATCAATGATTCCCTTAAATCCCTTTGAGATTCGGCTTCCGTTCGTCCCTCCGCTTCGTTTCATCATCGCTGCACCTGCGACACGATCAAGAGTCTAATCGAGACCAAGATTCCTTTTTTTATATATCTTAATTAAAAATACGTAAGGCTTTTGTAGTTTTTTGGGCTCGTCAATGTCCGTAGCGCTACCGTGCGCGTGTTTTTATCCCAAGTTTTACAAAATTGGGCTACGACGATTTGGATGCGACGCTCTGATTTTGGGAGAAATGGAAAGAGGATCGAGATCGAGTGGATTAAAACCCTCAACCAATTTTGAGAGATCGAGAAAGATTCCACCGGACTTGATGGGGATGATTAGCTCCGGCATGATACGGGCACATGACTGTCATCTAGAGGTTTGAAGACGCTACTGTAGTGTTTGGAGGAGGCAACCGATTGTGCTAGCTGGGCTCTTGCAACTCCATTTGTAGGGTGCGCTGGAGAGAGGCAGGCCGAGCGGAGGGAGATATGAGGCGTGGATTGGGCTGGGGCTGAAAATAAAGGAATGGGGCAATGTATAGTGATTCCAATGTTTCAATATATTGCTTAGCTCCTATTAGCCGTCGTACCACAGAAAGAAAAAAATGTTGCAACGCATGGACATTTTGTTTCTAGTACACAAGAAATGCAGCATTGGTTTTCTATTGATTTGGTACAGCTGTTTTATACCCCTAGAGAAATAGAAAAGCAAAAGTAAAACGGTAAGGAGTTGTCAAATTGGGCCACGGCCCACAGAGTATAACAAGTAAGAAGCCCAAGAAAGAGCAGCTCGGCTCAGGCTACATATCAGGATTTGCTGAACGTAAGTAGTTATAGGGCCTTCTGTTGGATGGCACTCCTTTCCTTTAAAGTCCTTCTGATTCTATTCCTCATTCGTGAAAGAGGATGTTCTAACCCCCCAACTATTAAAATTGATGTAACTTAATTATCTTGACTATTTTAAATGAGACAATTGCATCTATGCCCCCACTATCAAACCTAATTGTTGTTTTATCCTCACTTTTTAGGGTTTGTAGTTTTACCCCCACTTTTTGAATTTGAACCATCCGACTACCTCCACTTCTAACATCCGGTTTAACGGTGTTAGTTGTACAGCAAAAGGACATTTATACCCTTAGTGATTATTGCATTTTTGCTCCTATTTTTTTCAGCTTGTGTGATTTTGCCCCTATTGTGTGATTGTTATAAATAATTCAAATATGAGCATCTCTTGTGATGTTTTTGTACTTTAATAAAAAAATCACAAATACTAGCCAAGTACATAATCTGACCAAACTTTGAACAAAATTTAGACAGCATTTCGACAGGTCCGGGAAGTTGCTACTGAAGAATTCCTTGATGGAGAAGGTCATCGGCGACGGTGGGCGTGGACAGCAGCAGGCTATGCGTGCTCGGCGCGAACGGCGGCATGGGTTGGGGGGGAGGGGTTGCGCCGGCGGAGTGGACGAAGGGGCTGAGGTCGCTGAGCTAGGAGACGGAGGCCTGGTCGAGCGGGGAGAAGAGCCTCGACGGTGACGATGCCATGGGGGGCAGCGCGGAGGGCACCGGGGAGAGTATGCTTGGGTGGGTGGGGCCGAGGACCGCCATGAAGGCGGCGTTGCCATTGCCATCGACGTCGAGCAGGATGGGGTCGTCGCCGGCTGCGTAGTAGTGCGAGGAGGGTGCGGTAGGGGGAAGCGGTCGTACAGACCTCTCGATGGCGGCATACCTCGCGGCAAGGGAGAGGGCGGCGATCGGGGAGAGCATGAACTCGTGTGGCAACTAGAACTGCGAATCCCCGTGTCAAAGCCCCACGGCCGCCTGGCTACCGCACGCCCGCCCTCTCCACGGTTGCCGCCGCCGCGCGTACGCCCTCGCAGCCGCCCGCCCTCGAGTCCCTGATTCACGCACGCACAGGTTGAGAGGATTTAGTCCCTACCCATTCTCTCAGGGGTACAAACGTAAATTCATATTTCCTAAAACCTTTTTTTATTTCCTTTTGTATTCCTTTAACACAAAACGTGGGACCCACCAAACGATTGTTACAAGTAGGGGTAGACGGCCGGTTCAGATTCAAAAAGTGGGGCTAAAACCGCAAACCCTAAAAAGTGAGGGTAAAACAACAATTGGGTTTGAAATTGGGGGCATATATGCAATTGTCCCATTTTAAAAATGGTTTTCACCAACGTGGCAAGTTGGTCCAACCGGATGTGGGGGTCACATGTCAGTGAGTATGTATCAGTAGGCCGATAGGTAACAACAGCTCGAGGAGGTTGTGGAACTCACTAGGGATGGAGGTGACGACTCTGTGGCCTCATCCTGTTGGCAGGACCCTCTAACACTACGACATGAGCCTCCCCTCCCATCGCCATCGCTACCAATGTTGCGAGCAACCCCTCTCTTTCTCACCCCCCTCTCCTTTTCCACACCGCCACACGAGCTCGAGTGGGGACAATAGTAGGCAATGGCGCGATGATGACGGCAGAGAAAGCCGCCCCTCCTCATCTTCCCCTTCAGACATCTTCCCCATCCTCGCCTGCTTCAGTCCTTCACAGTCGCTGCCTACCTTGCCGTCCGTGATCCCGGTAGGGGAGTGGTCTGACACCATCTCTCTCATTGGGCCACGCACGTCACTGATGCTTGAGCCTCTACTGGCAAACCCATATGAGCCAGCAGCCTCATCATCGACAGCTGACCACCGTTTTGCTCCTTTGTCCTCCGGAACTATGTGGATCTGGGCTCATCGTTCCAATCGACACTGAACTTTGTGCCGGGCCATGCCGACCCAACGTGCCGAGGTGGCAGCCCAAGCACGACATGGCTGTTAGGCTGGGCCGGCATGGCCCGACCTGCCATGCCTGGGCCGGGTCAAATCACCTGGCCTTGGGCTGGGTCATATGACCATCTATATTCATAGGTACGAATAATAGATCTGCCTAATCAAAAGCACAAGTATATACTGCCCCTGAGCAAGGCGATGCTACTTGTATGTGACTGTACGTGACGCTGGCTGAAGGACAAGGAGTTGCAATTAGGCTAGTATCTGAGGCAACGCCATCCTCACAATTCTCCCCCAATCCACACACTCACCTCCCGCCCTCTCTCCGGCCACACAAACCGCGGCTAAAACCAATGGAACAAAACAAGAAGCCATCGGCACCAAGACCAGGTAGCCGCAGCGAGAGGAGAGCGCGAGCAGAGCAAGCAACCAAGCAGCAGCAGCGATGGCCGCCGCAGCCACGACATCCTCCCACCTGCTCCTGCTCTCCCGCCAGCAGGCGGCGGCCTCGCTCCAATGCGGCCTCTCCTTCCGGAGGCAGCCCGGCAGGCTCGCCGGTGGGTCGTCGGCCCCGAGCGTGCGGTGCATGGCGGCCGTCGACACGGCCTCGGCGCCCGCCGCGACGGAGGCTAGCAAGAAGAGCAGCTACGAGATCACCACGCTGACGACGTGGCTGCTGAAGCAGGAGCAGGCCGGGACCATCGACGGCGAGATGACCATCGTGCTGGCCAGCATCTCCACGGCGTGCAAGCAGATCGCCTCGCTGGTGCAGCGCGCGCCCATCTCCAACCTCACCGGCGTCCAGGGCGCCGTCAACGTGCAGGGCGAGGACCAGAAAAAACTCGACGTCGTCTCCAACGAGGTAAACGACTAAATTATCAGTAGCTCGTCGTGGTTAGTGCGCGAACCACCGCAACAAGCGCGACCGACCATAAGCTGAGCGCTATGCGCACCGCAGGTGTTCTCCAACTGCCTCAAATCGAGCGGGCGCACCGGCGTGATCGCGTCGGAGGAGGAGGACGTGCCGGTGGCCGTGGAGGAGAGCTACTCGGGCAACTACATCGTGGTGTTCGACCCGCTCGACGGCTCCTCCAACATCGACGCCGCCGTCTCCACCGGCTCCATCTTCGGCATCTACAGCCCCAACGACGAGTGCCTAGCCGACATCGCCGACGACCAAAATGTAACGCGTTATCGATCGCCTAGCAATCGCTCATGCACACACTGACACGGTGCTAACAGAACGAAACGCCTCTGTCCGCGCGCGTGTGCCTGCAGCTTGACCAGGTGGAGCAGAGGTGCATCGTGAGCGTGTGCCAGCCGGGGAGCAACCTGCTCGCCGCCGGCTACTGCATGTACTCGAGCTCGGTCATCTTCGTGCTCACCATCGGGACAGGGGTGTACGTGTTCACGCTGGACCCGATGTACGGCGAGTTCGTGCTGACGCAGGAGAAGGTGCAGATCCCCAAGGCAGGCAAGATCTATGCCTTCAACGAGGGCAACTACGCGCTCTGGGACGACAAGCTCAAGAGCTACATGGACAGCCTCAAGGAGCCCGGGCCGTCCGGGAAGCCATACTCCGCGCGCTACATCGGCAGCCTCGTCGGCGACTTCCACCGCACGCTGCTCTACGGCGGCATCTACGGCTACCCCAGGGACCAGAAGAGCAAGAACGGCAAGCTGCGGCTGCTGTACGAGTGCGCGCCGATGAGCTTCATCGTCGAGCAGGCCGGCGGCAAGGGCTCCGATGGCCACCAGAGGATACTTGACATCATGCCTACGGAGGTAAAATATGCGCACACATTATATGCGCAGTGTTATTAATGGATTAATCTACGAGTAGACTTAGAAATCGAAATGTGTCTATATAATTGATTCGTTTGTGAATGTGCCGTGCAGATCCATCAGAGAGTGCCGCTGTACATCGGGAGCGTGGAGGAAGTGGAGAAGGTCGAGAAGTTCTTGGCTTGACTGCAAGTTTCATATACGGGGGTGTTTCTAAAAAAAAAAGTATTGTAACTAAATTATAATATATTTGTAGAAATTTTCTTTTCTGATGGCGAATTAATTAAACCCATTGTGAAGGATTTCATCCCTACTGTTGATAGGTCGAGGCTCCTTCTCACTAGTCCTGAAAACAGTCGACAAACAGCCTAAAGCATTTCTGTAGCCATTTATTTTTCACGGAAACGGTAGAGGCCAAAACAAAGATAATATTGGAAATTGAAAATGGAACTGTTAGAGCACCCGCAATAGTAAAGTAAGGTGCTCTCTATAAAACATGTACATCTCAGCAATAGACTAGATTAATAGTAAACTACCCCAATAGTATGTCTACATGGGTATCTATAGCTCTCTAATTCATTGCCTCGTTTTTCTCTATAGACTATCTCCAGGTTAGTAGATAGCTTTGCTCTATCTCTTCATTTAATCTCTTTCAAGTAGGAAAATATGCTGACATAGATATCTTGTAGAGAGCCTATAGATAACCATTACGGGTGCCCTTAGGATGAAAACTTACATGTATCGATCAGAACAGACAATTCATGTGAGACATACATAAGAAACTCATGTCAGAAACTCTGAACCATAAAAATCGCATATGTAAGACGTTACAATATATAAAGGGAACTGTCGAATTTTGAACAGTTGAATTTCTTTAAGACTAGAAAAAAAAATGCTCGTGCGTTGCAACGGGTGAAGTCTATTTTAATCTTATTATTGTTATATGGTTTAGTTAAGATGAAATTTACTGTGGGAATTCCCTTGGATATATATATTTTTAGAAAATCATGAGCTGCAGTTAGCAGTCTAATCGTCTCAAGTTAGCATGCGAGTTTTTTTAAACAGATTTCTTATATGATTCCTTCTGTATTACTGAAAGCAAACGAACTTAAAAACTGACTCATACACGGATGACGTACAAAAATACCGGCGAAAACATCTTCAATTTTTATAATAGTAGAGAAGATATACAGATTAAAACCAAAACATAAAATTAAAACCGACTCAAACACGGATGACGGACCGCGGAAACATCTTCAATTTTTATAACCGACTCAAACACGGATGACGGACCGTGGAAACATCTTCAATTTTTATAATAGTATAAACCAAAACATAAAATTAAAACCGACTCAAACACGGATGATGCCATCTTCAATTTTTATAACCGACACAAACACAGATGACGAACCGCGGAAACATCTTCAATTTTTATAATAAGTATAGGTATAGATTGGTGCATACATCCCTAAACCTTACCCCGCCCCTCCTCTCCTCCCTTCTCACTCTAGTGTCACCAGACATGATTGAATCACCCGCTCGCTCGATGCTTTCCGTCGCCACCGCCCTGCAGCCCGGCCTCGCCGGCTGGCCGGAAGGCGTTAATAACACTGGCGAGCCCAATCCCCCCTCCCTCCCTAGCCAGCCTCCCCGTTACCAACCTCTTCTCCTACTCAAGTCGTTGGCTGCCGGCCGTGAGGTGCCCCGCTCTGCCCTTTTCCTCGTCTTTAGTGGCTCCTCACTGCCTCCTAACCATAAATTTGCTCCAGTATACCACTCTCTTTCATCCCCACAGCTCCAGCGTCGTCATTGTTGCCTCGTCGCCTGCTCGTGTCCACCGCCTCCTACTTCCATCCATCTAAACGCATGGATATCCCCTTTTCCCCCTCCTCCTTCCACTGCCACCCAACCCCCGGGGCCCTAATCCGTTGCTACTCCACTAGAGTTTGCAGTGTCACCGGTGCCAGAGAAGAAAGGGAGATCACCAGAGCTACAAGATAAGGGTCTACAGCACGAATCGCAAAGCACATCTAGTGACCCAAAACTATAAGGGCCTATTTAGATTGTAGCTAAAATAAACCTTACCAAATTTTAGCAATGCCAAAATTTTGGCAAGATGGCAATATTGCTAAAATTTTGGCATGATTTCTTATGTATTGACTAAATTTGGCAACAAACTAAACGTAGATACTTTTTTTTGACAACTTTATTAAAAAATGGTATAGTTGAAAATGGCATTAAAGTAAACAGGCCCTAAGATTTGGGGATGTTTTTTTATCGACAAAAGGTTAGTGATTATTATGAAATGACCATATAAGTTTATGCTTACATTGTAAAACGTGTGAACGGTCTCCTTTTTTGACCGCTTAGGCGTACTCAAAGTAGAAATTGGGAGTGATGGGTTTCTATGCTATAGGCCAGAGGAGATGTAGGACTTGTTCATTTTTCACTTGGAAAAAACTTATCAAATTTTAGTAATTTTACCAGAATCGAAGTTTAGTAGTAAGATAATAAGGTAAGGATGTGGACGATGTTTGGTTTAACACATTACTAAATTGTGTAGTAGCTAGAGTAGAAAGTTCCCGAATTACTAAAATATGGTTGCATTGGTAATAGTATGTTTAGTATGCTGCCTTGTTAAATTTTGATATTACCAAAATTTAAAAGGTCTTCGTTTTAAATATTTTTTTAAAAATAGAAATAGGAACAAATCTAACTATAGTTCACAATAGATACATGGCAATTTCTATATTAACATGGCAGAAGGAAATCGGCAATTGTAAATCTGTAACCAGAGTCCCATGCCGTTTGGATCCACAGGGCCAAAAGTTCTGGAAGGCACTCGATGATTCGGCCCAGGCGGCCAGGCTCCAAATCAGGTGTTTTCCAGTGCATTCTTGAACTGACGAGAATTATCAGGATCCCACCTCTCAACGCCGCCCACAGCCCGTATAAATCCGGCCTCCCCTCCCGCTCTGCGGCCCAGACAAAGATCGAAAGCAACTCGCAAATCGCGATCCCTTGTGCTCACATCCCAAGCTTCCCAAGCACACACTGTTTTAGTGTTCACAAACACAGCCTTCCTTCTCGCCCAAATCCGTCAACCATGTCGCTGATCCGCCGCGGCAACGCGTTCGACCCCTTCTCCCTCGACCTCTGGGATCCCGTCGACGGCTTCCCCTTCGGCTCCGGCGGCAGCAGCAGCAGCAGCGGCAGCCTCTTCCCTCGGGCCAACTCCGACGCGGCGGCCTTCGCCGGCGCGCGCATCGACTGGAAGGAGACGCCCGAGGTGCACGTGTTCAAGGCGGACGTGCCGGGGCTGAAGAAGGAGGAGGTCAAGGTGGAGGTGGACGACGGCAACATCCTGCAGATCAGCGGCGAGCGCAGCAGGGAGCAGGAGGAGAAGTCGGACAAGTGGCACCGCGTGGAGCGCAGCAGCGGCAAGTTCCTCCGCAGGTTCCGCCTCCCCGAGAACACCAAGCCGGAGCAGATCAAGGCGTCCATGGAGAATGGCGTGCTCACCGTCACCGTGCCCAAGGAAGAGCCCAAGAAGCCCGACGTCAAGTCCATCCAGATCTCCGGCTAGAGCCCCGTTTGTTTATTCTGCTGCTTCTCCTCAATGCTGCAATTGATCTCCTCCTTTGGTACTTTGCTTGTGTCGTGAGGGACACAGTCCAAAATGTGTGTGATATGATCATGTGTTTATGAATGTGTGGTCTCCTCCAAGGGTCCCAAATGTGTTTGTCTCCTATGCGTTTATGTACGGGAAATAAACTTTAAGCTTGATTAATGTACCAATGTTTGAGTTTTTCTTGAGCCTTTTGGAATGGAAACTGGGAGTGGCCAGTTCGGTTCTACAACATTGGTTGTTCTGGTAGCTCGGTTGATTTAGAAGGATCAGTTCTGATTATTATCCAGCATAACTAATATACGCTGAATCTCTCCCATTTTCTTCTTATAAGAGACGTAATAGCAGAATCCGAATCGACCGTCACAATACTATGCCGGTGAATTAGCAAAACATAAACCAACGCAATCACAAAGGTATGGACAAACGAAGAAGCGGCAAGAACAATGTACGCACCTGGCTGATGGCATGGCACACTTCCCGGATTCATTCTCCTGCATCACCATGGACTTATCCAGCGTTAAGACTAATGCCATTGCCACAACCCAACGAAAGCGCAATGATCATTAATCTCTGCACAGAAATACCAAGAAGTAATACAACAGGGGATTAGGAAGAGGGGCACACGAGCCCCTTCACCAACAATCTGCGCGAGGCGCATAGGGTCTTGACTCTTGAGGGTTGAGGCACCCTGGCCTCTGCCAACGCCGTGGGACCACGAGAGAGAACGGAAGGGGAGGAGAAGAAAATAATTGGCGCCGCCTCTTCAGGACCCCAAGCCCGCTTGAGCATCCAAGATGGAGAACGGCTACCGGAACCAGCCGTGCAGGCGATTTGATCGCCGGCGAGGCCGCGAGGGATGGTGGCGGTGATGGATGAAGTCTTTGTCAGTGACATAAGGCATGTTGCCTTTGAAGGTAGAGGATCTCAATCTCCGTTTATGGACCAAATGGTGGGCTCCACCTTCTCTTGGGCAAAGAGTGAACCATCTGCACATGGTCCCGGAACAGGATTAGGACAATTAGATCTATTTACCCTAGTCGGATTTGCTATTTAGCCTACGTGCTTTCGTAACATGAAAGTTTTCATGTAAAACTTTTCAGATGAATTTTTCAATAAAATCATTTCATATGAAAAAAGTTTAAACAAAGTTTTGAGAAAAAGAAAGTGCGCTAGAAACAATCTCGTGCTAAAGAACAATACCCTCATATTAGTTGATCTATAACAGGTTGTGACATGATGCCCTTATTTGTTCGATTGAAGGTTCGGAGTGGGATTGCCCTTAGACATGCGGCCATGCGTTTTTTTGGCTGAAAATCTAAGATGTTTGTGTCCATAGCAAAGTATCCACTTTTTATACGTCAGAGATTTAATAGTTGTGAATATCATGGCATGTTCTGCATGAGCTACCACCGTCGCATAAATAAAAGTTCTATTTTATGGATTTATTAGAAGTAGAAACTCCTTAATCATAACAGAGCTTCATATTTATATTTGAGACTTTCTATTACACATTTGACAGAAAACACCACTTAAAAATTCTTATAATTTTTGAGCCATTAGATCGCTTTCGGATTGGTGCAGATATCCAAACCCTAATCCTTTTATCTTTTATCTTTTGTTCCTTTGTCCTTGAACAACGCTCAATGGCTCTCGTCATCGCTGCCTCTGTTGTCACCTCAATCCAATGGTGGTGAGGTGCCCCTGCCACGCCATCTCCTAACCCGTCGCTCTACTTTGCCCCTAACACTGACCCACCGTATGTTATCGACCCTACGGCTTTGGCGGTGCCGTCGTTGCCTCGCCACCCACTCATCCCGCTGTACATCGTCGGGCCATCACCTTCCACAATCATCCCTCTAAGCCACCTTCCCCTTCTCTCTCAGCCCCAACCTAAACCCAAACCTATTTGCCGGAGTTTAGGTTGTTATCAGTGTTGTAGAAATAAATGAGGTTATTGGAGTTGAAGAAAAAACACATGAAGTACGAATCGCAAATCACAATATTAGCAATTTCGTTATATTTGGTTAGTTCAGTCATGGCCTAGCATTGGAATAATTTTTTAGTCTGATCTGAAAACGGAAATCCTATAGGCCTTTTCTCAGTCCGATCTGAAAACGTAAAACCTATAGGCATCTTTCGAAACAAGTGAAATTTTTGGGACTTCTGTTGGAATCGAATCGATTGCTGTGAAAATGCTGAAACAAGTGAAATTTGTGGGACTTATGTGGAAATTGAGCTCTCAATTTCCGAAATGAACTCTCCAGTCTCGACAGAAGGATTCAAGAACCAAAGGCTAAAAGTACTGAAACATCGAGATAAAAATGGCAGAATATACCGGAGATTAGATTAAACAAACAAGTGTAGGACTAGTATAATCTCAGGTTCGTTCACAAAACAAGAAAAGTCTTTATTGCTCACTTCCAACATAGCTTTGAACTTTTTCACAGCATAAACACTGAGGACCAGATTTGACGCTTTTATTTACTGCAATTGATCACAAACCGAAGGCTCGAATCGAAGCTCTCCACCGTGCATGTCACACCCGAAGTTTCTTACTAGCCGGTAACCTGGATGGACTTGACGTCGGGCTTCTTGGGCTCCTCCTTGGGCACGGTGACGGTGAGCACGCCGTTCTCCATGGACGCCTTGATCTGCTCCGGCTTGGTGTTCTCCGGCAGCCGGAACCTGCGGAGGAACTTGCCGCTGCTGCGCTCCACGCGGTGCCACTTGTCCGTCTTCTCCTCCTGCTCCTTGCTGCGCTCGCCGCTGATCTGGAGGACGTTGCCGTCCTCCACCTCCACCTTGACCTCCTCCTTCTTCAGCCCCGGCACGTCCGCCTTGAACACGTGCGCCTCCGGCGTCTCCTTCCAGTCGATGCGCGCGCCGGCGAAGGCCGCGGTCTCGGAGGAGGTGCCGCGGGGGAAGGACGGGAAGATGCTGCCGCTGCTTCTGCTGCCGGAGCCGAAGGGGAAGCCGTCGAAGGGGTCCCAGAGGTCGAGGGAGAAGGGGTCGAACACGTTGCTGCGGCGGATCAGCGACATTGTGTATTGTGTCTTGCTGTTTTTTGGTTGTCTGGTTTGTGTTCTAGATGGAAAGAGGGTGATCTCAATTCTCAAGAGAGCTTGTTGATCTTTCGATCGATGAGCTGATTTCCTTGGCACCTGTCGCTGCGTGGTGGCAACAATTTATATAGCAGTTCGTGATGGTCCATGGGTTCTACTGGAAGTTTTGCTTCCGGATAGTTCTCGTTTGTTCGTTAATTTGGGCCGAAATTGGAAGTGGTCTTCTGGATTGTTCTAGGCCTGCTTATGGCCTAGATTATTCTGGAGAGTCCTGGACGCTATGGGCTACAGCCCACCCCGCTACCGGTGGTGTAAACTTCTAGCCCAAGCTATCTCGTACTAGGTTCTAGCCCATGCGGGGGCAAACTGGAAGTTTCTAGAAGCTTATTCCAAGCTCCACGATGCCCTCTCGCTGCCCTCTATAAAACCGCGCTCCCCTTCACCGGCAGAACCACGAAGAAAACGCAAAGCAAACCAAGCAAACATCAGAGTAAGAACTCAGAGAAGTCCGATCGTTCCACCTCCAAATTCGCAGCTATTCCGACGATGTCGATGATCCGCCGCAGCAACGTGTTCGACCCCTTCTCCCTCGACCTCTGGGACCCCTTCGACGGCTTCCCCTTCGGCTCCGGCAGCGGCAGCCTCTTCCCTCGCGCCAACTCCGACGCGGCGGCCTTCGCCGGCGCGCGGATCGACTGGAAGGAGACGCCCGAGGCGCACGTGTTCAAGGCGGACGTGCCGGGGCTGAAGAAGGAGGAGGTCAAGGTGGAGGTTGAGGACGGCAACGTCCTCCAGATCAGCGGCGAGCGCATCAAGGAGCAGGAGGAGAAGACGGACAAGTGGCACCGCGTGGAGCGCAGCAGCGGCAAGTTCCTCCGCAGGTTCCGGCTGCCGGAGAACACCAAGCCGGAGCAGATCAAGGCGTCCATGGAGAACGGCGTGCTCACCGTCACCGTGCCCAAGGAGGAGCCCAAGAAGCCCGACGTCAAGTCCATCCAGATCACCGGCTAGAGCATTGGGCTAATCTAAAACGATTTATCTGTGGCTTCAAGTGTATCGATCACTTATGTGAGGTGTAATTACTGGTGTTTTTGGTGTGCTCTGGTTCCTTTCAAGTGTGTTGTTGCCGCTCGAACTACTCCGCTATGTAAAACGGTAAAACCTGTTGTCTCATTATGAAAGTGAACTATATTATGTTCTACTACTACTCTACTTAGTCAATTTTCTTCACCTTGATTAGTGTAAATATGAATCTTATATTCTTATGTCTTAAGAAATTAGCACATGTGAAGCCTCCAAGTGCATATTTTCTCGATCGCGAGACGCACAATGCGTGAGAAATTCAGCTGGTTATACTCAAATATATTAATATATCTAGCAGCAGCTCATGGAGATTCAGGAAACTTGGCATCCCTAATCCCTACCATTTCCATTCTTCCGAGATTGACAGTTCAATACAAGTACAGTAATCTCCTGGTAAGTTTCTTATTAACTTGACATGTAGTAGTAATAATTTGTACGTAGCATAGATACATAGACACAAAAATGTCCTCCCCATTGAGCTAGCCGATTGGAGCCGAACACCGCAGGAATGAATTTACATAATCTGCAAAGAATAAATGGAATGTGCCTCCACAGGAAAACCAGCGGCAGTGTGGCGTTTTCAAGAGCAGCCGTAAGTCGAAGCCTATTCTGAATCGTAGAAATCACTGGGGCATGGTGTAATTACATCCGACTCCAACATCTGTACCACCCTGTGCATTGTAGGCCGCTCCTCTGGCAAAGAACTTACACATTGTTTAGCAAGAGAAAGTAGAGCATCCAAGGTCTCAATCTGCACTCCCTCACAATATGGATCGACAATTTCCCTCTCCCGATTCTCACCGACCAGGAAATTCAACTGCCACAGAGCAAGTAGATTATTTCAAGAATACATTAAATCAATTGAAGGCATACGTAATTCATATCAGAAAACTGTGGATATGAAATGGAAGGACATAAAGGTCATACATACCCATCCAACAATGTTCAATCCCTTTTCAATAAATGATGCATCAGTAGGTCGTTTTCCGCTTAGTATTTCAAGTAGCAAAACTCCAAAACTGTAGACGTCAGTCTTTTCGGTGGCTCTGCCACTTTGCATATACTCTGGATTTTGAATTTTGCAAATTAGCTCAGAGCATATGAAATTATATATTGATAAATAAAATCCAGAGATGCAATAAGGTGGTAAGCATTTGTTATATGCTGTTATTTTCCCACAATGAATGAAACAGAACAGTTTTAACATACCTGGTGCAAGATAGCCAAATGTTCCTGCAACTATTGTAGTAATATGGGATTTGTCGTCCTCTAATAGCTTTGCGAGTCCAAAGTCTGATACACGAGCCTCAAAATTGCCGTCTAGTAAGATGTTGCTCGATTTAATATCACGATGTATTATTCGAGGTGAACAATCATGATGCAAATAAGCCAGGCCTTTTGCAGCTCCAAGTATTATGTTAATACGTGCATCCCAGTCCAACTGTTCAGATTTTTCTGTCAAGATTGAAGATAGATGAGATATTAGGACTTGATGTTAAAAAATAAAATAGTGAAGTCTGCTAATGTAAGACCTAATTATACGTTGTTATAAAATTCAATGCATATATTCCACAAGCATATGGAATATAAATGGTAATATCATGGTTAAGGTTTTCACTCTTATCTCGATTGTTTAGATCCAGATGTAATTGAAGAATGAACAGAGGTCTGTATTTAAAGTAATAAAGTATAATTCTCAGACTCGCTGCCAATGTAAAATTGGAATCACCATGAGTAGACAGCATCTTCTGTCCTTGTGTCCTAGTATGTTATATACAACCCTCTACTCGTACTACATAATAGCTGAAGTCCCATGCCCATCGACTACTAAGTAGCATTCCATTTTTGTTACAAGAGGCAGAAATAATATCCATCGTGGAATCTGTAGCTGCTAATTCACATGGAGGTCTGAACATGCCACAAAATAGCCAAATGGGACGATCAAGAACTTAAAAATGAACAACTTTGTTGCCCCCACAGTGGCACAATTTTCACATACTAAAGTCTTCATCTCCCACTTGGCTATTGCATTCTGTGTCTAGCTGACATTAGCTAGTATGCCCCTTAAGATATTGTTGTACTTGTACCTCTTTCCAATAGGTAGATTGAATGTAACTATAGTACTATACTATCCTATGTTCTAAAATTCAAATTATATGTATACTCCTCATGGAAGAATATGTAATTTGCAAGAGAGCATCAATCCACACTGATAGCCAAGCCACACATATAAAAGTATCTATGCACCCTTAGAAGATAACACCAACCCTAGAGGTGGTGGTGGAATGGCAGACTCCACCATCACCACTAGGTTCTTTCATATCCATTAACTGAATCACCTCAAACCTTAATTTAATGTTGGGCTTTGAACACATACTTAACTCCTTACTGAGGAAGACAAACTAAAACTGTTAACAATTGGAAGAATGCAATACAAATAAAATAAATAGGAAGTAGAAAACTGAACATGCTCACCATGTAGCACCTCATCTAGGTTTCCACCTGGAAGATAGTCATATATCAATAGCTTTGATGAGGGAGAATTGCAATAGCCACGGAGATTGACCAAATAACGATGCTTAACACTTCCCAGTATCTCAAGTTCTCTATCAAAGAACTGACCAAGCCCTTCATTTGTTTTCATTATCCTTTTCAATGCAAAAACATTACCGTCATCCATTGCAAGTTTATAAACCGTCCCGAAGCCCCCTACTCCAATGATATTCTCATCATCCATGGTCTCTAGTTTCTTGAGGATTTCTTTAGTGGAGTAAGGGAGGTCCCCGTGGAACATCACAATGGAAGAGCCTAAAAGAAAACAAGCAAGATTATAAGGACCGCATAAATTGAAGATGATTCACATAGCATATTCAATGACATGGTTACCTCCACATAGCTCCACCCTGAAACCATGAATATCTTTCTTTCCAAAATTTTTGTACAGAAAGCAACCCCAGAAACACATCAAAGCGACCAACAGAAGAGCTCCTACTGTTGCTACTGCACTTATAACAAGTCTGGTAGAATTCTTCCCGTTTCTTCTATTGATGAAGTCGTCTGCCATATGATAATCAGAAGAACATAAGTCATAGGTTCATGAAAGGAACTGAAAAGAAAGGGATCAATTTACACTTTACAGAACCCCAAACTGCCAGAAGTATATTTCCTAGTCAAATATAAAAGCAACTGATACTGATGATTGATATTGATGGATAAATATTAAATACAAACATTGAAATCTTGCTAACCATTTAACTATTTACAAAAAATGTTTGAAGCATGAAAAAAAGGTATGTAGACAGTTTTAGAAACATCTGGTACCTGCGGAAGGTGGCAGAGGGCCATTTGATGGTGACTGAAGTGCATCTTTGCACACCGAGTTAATCTGCTTCCCACATAAACCACGGTTCCCGATGAAGCTGCATTGCAACATGCAAAATCATATGATATATTACAAGTGTGATGTAGTGTAGCGCATCATGAAGAGGTAAACAAAAGCACTCTATCACATGACATCCCCCACTCTACTTGCTCAAATATACATATTGAATTAGACAAGAATAAACAACATAGAGAAGATAACTCACGAAGTTTCATTAAAATTCACAAGTGAACCATCAGATGGTATTGCTCCTGTCAGGAAATTCATGGAAACATTGCTGCACAGGTGAAATTTCTTATTTAATTTGCCGCACAAAGTTAGCATAAAAATTCAATGGATTTATCAAGATAAAAAACACTCACAATGATGTAAGCTTGGCCAGCTTATCAAGAGAGGGTGGAATCGATCCGCTCAACGTATTGCTGGATAAGTCCCTGAAGGGGAAAAACATATTCCAGAAATATGAGTAATCCTCTAAATTGACAAACGAATTCATTTGCAATCCAGTGCACTTAATTTTTATATCAGAACTTTTGTGTTGATTGTTTCAGTGAAATGGTACGTTTCTGATGCATAGATTGAACTAATCAGACAGGGGAGATCAGTCTGATGTGAAATGGACAGCCAGGAAAGACATTGGTTGATTGAGGTAATAAATGATTAAAAAAAGCAACCAGAAACTCCACCCAAAACTTACAGTGTACCAAGTTCCACCAGATCACCAAACTCTGAAGGGATATGCCCACTTAAATAATTTCCTTGTAGATACCTGCTGGTCATCTCACAAGTCAGAACACAAAACGTAAAAAGTTGCATCAATTAAAATTGCATAACAGTATGAATGTTATGAATAGTTTTTTGCAAGACATGGTGTTACAAATGCTGGAAAAACAGTAATACTTAGAAACTTACAGTTGTTGTAACTTGGTACAATTTCCCAATTCTGGAGGGAGTGAGCCATACAAGCTATTCCCTTGCAGTGATCTAATGACATAAAATAGTAATTTCAGATGCTGAAAAGAAAGAGGTTAAGCAAAGAACGCTATCAACACACACTTACAGAGCTTGCAACTGATTTAACCTTCCAATTTCTGGAGGTATGGGCCCAACTAACTTGTGATATGCAAGAATCCTAAACAAAAGATATTGGTGGTCAGATATATTTATAACAATGGAAGCTATGAAGTTATCATTCCCTTCCTATTAGAAAATGCCATCTTAAAAACGAAAACCATATTACTGAAGCAAAATAATAGCCAGGTTGAAATTCTAAGCATTTCACAATATTTATGTAGGGTTTATTTTGGTCTTACAGACAAACTACTCTCTTGGTGTGAGAGTCACATCCAACACCCTTCCAATTGCAAGGATCCACATCTTGTTCACGCCAGTTGAGAAATATCCCATCAGAAGTTGTAACTGCCTTCTTGAAGGCAAGAAGTGCTTCACCTGTAGGAAACCGTCAAAAGAATCATAATAAATGAGCACAGATTGTCAAATGTAGCACACAAATACCAACCATAACTATGAAATGTCACATACCATCTGAACTTAGTGCTCTTGCTTCACGAGCACCAAGGTGCAGAATTAACAAAATTAAGAGGAAACTGGGCTGTTTTCTCAGAAAAGAGCCCATTTTTCACCAGTTGGTGAAGCATATAAAGATCACCGCAGCTTATTACAGAGGTCATGGGTGAGGTATACCATGTGCATCCTCTTTTATGGGAATGAACTCCACATGTAGATGTGCCCCTGGTGAGGGAGGCAAATTGCTGGCACTGTAAGTGAAAACAGGAACATATCAGCAATCATGCAAAGTTATCAAATAAACAGAGCAACAATCAGATATGCAGATCAAATGCAGTACATTGTGACACACTCATGGCTCCTCTTTAGCAAAATGGACGACCATAAGAACCAAAACATGACAATTTATTAATAAAAAAAATTATGTGCTTCCACAAAATTGTTTAATGGTATTTGAATTACCTAGAACCTGCAATTTGAAATTTCCCCAAAAATTCTAACAAAAACAATTTAGACAGCGGTTAATTTCGAAAACAATTTAGTCACCCCAATTACTGTAAATCAACATCTTTCAGTTACTTCTTAAAAAGAAAAAAAAAAGGACCAACTTAGTTAGCCGAAGAAACAACAAAGCAGTTACTAATTCCAGCTCGCAACCGCCAAAACGCAAGCACGCATCCAGTCATCCAGAGTTAAAGCCGTCGCAACTGCCGCCGCCGACGCCACTAAGCAAAAAGTAGGGTACAGCCACAACCCAACCCACAAGCCCCCGCGACGCTACCGACACGAAACCGAGCACACCAGTTTTGAGCGCCCGCTGCCGCGGCATCACCAGTTCACCACTCAGCAACACACAAGCTGACGCGACGCACGGGCTCACCGCGGCCGCACGAATCGGCGGCAGATCCGGCGCGAGGACGGGGAGCGGGGGCAAGGTTTTTACCTGCGCCTGCCTGCCTGCCTGCGCTCTCGCACTGGACAGCGGCACGGCGATCCGCGTCGGCGCGGCGACCGGCGAACACGAGGACGACGACGACGACGACGACGAGGTCGTCGGCCGAGACGAAGCGGCAGTGGAGGGAGCGGCGAGGGGAGAGAGTGCGGAGAGATTAGGCGGCCAGTGCTGCGCTGTGCTGTGGCTGCGAGAGGGAGAGAGGAGAGGAGAGTGTGGGGGAGGAGTGTAGTGAGAGAGAGAGAATGCGGTTTTGTCCGCGTGCGGCGTGGCGTGGGCGAGCAACGGGACACGGGACGAACAGCTAATCACCCCCGCCTCGTCTACTAGCTTTTGCCTCGCACCGCAAGCTGCTTTTACGTTTTTCTTCTTCTTCGCCCGTTTTTTCTTTTCCTTTCCTTCTCTTTTTCGTTCACATTTATTGGTTATTAGGTGTGCGTGCCTTTGCGTCGTAGCGGTACTTGTGTGGCATGCTGAGTGAAAATGACGTGCCAATTGGGACGGGACAGCGATAGATTCCCATGCCGGACCGTGCTTAGCCTTTGGGACGAATTAAATTCTGAACAATCAGATGATAAACTACAGTGTTTTTCTCTCTTTCCTATCGGCCCTCCCTGTGCTCTCAACTTCCAAATAGGCGAAGGTAGGCCGAGTTATTGCAGCTTGTCAATATATGTTGGTTAGGAGCAGTACATTTTGTTAGGTCGGCATAGACCTCAAGATAGATAATTGAGCCAATTGTTTTGTTTCAATTTGAGCTATTTGGACCTGCGATTAGGACAAAATTTCTACAGAATATCAGCTTTAAACTAGATAGAGCATGTCAGTCTGTCACTGGAAACTACACGCGGTGTCGACTTCTCCATGATACTGAAGATGTTCAGTTGAGCTAAGCGGCGTATCGTATTGGTAGAGTATTTAGGTATTAGGTAAAGTATTGATTGTGCAGCACCTACGGGTACAATTATACAAAGCCTAGTGAAGCAGGACGACGGGTCGCTGGTGGCGGGCCCGGAGCTCTGACCAACGAGGCGACCCAGAGGTTGCTGAGCTGTGCTGTCTCATACCCGGTGTCCTCTGCTCTCGATGTGACCCTTCCTCCCATCGGCCAGGCCAAACCGCCTGTTTTTTCACCCTTCCACACCACTGCTCCCGTTTTACTGTACTCCTGCTACCGTTGAAGCTTCTCACGCTGTGTTTAGTTTTTGAAATTGAAAAAAAAGTTTAAGGAAAGTTGATAGTTTGAAAAAAAATTGAGAATTTATATGTGTAGGAAAGTTTTGGATGTGATGTGATGAAAAGTTGAGAGTCAGGCAGAAGTTTGATGTGAACTAAGACATGGCCTCAATCTTTCGTTGTCGATTGTTGGTTGATGCTTTCTCTCCCTAGTCCCTAGCTGCTTCACTAATGTTAAAATCACGTGGTAGTTTAGTACATGTCCTGAAAATTTAGCCAAAAGAAGATACTAGTCTAGGGGTTAAACCCACCCAGGCAGGCAGGCAGGCAGACAGACGAACGGTAAACACTGGCAAGTCTCCGGCACGCATCATTTTCTCTCTCTTCCATCTCTGCTACCTTGCCCCCCAAAGCGATCGGCGGAACACGGGCGATGAGGCGAGCCGCGCCATAACTGCACGAGGACCCAGCAGCCCAAGACCGGTGAGGCGAAGCGCACGCAATCAATCCGGTGGACACCACCACCCATACACGCCGCCCCTTGCGCACGACGCACCGAAGACCCATCCTGCCGCCTGGATTTTTCACATTTTGGTCCTTTTAAAAACTTATTTCGCAAGTAGACCCCTAGAAAAACTTATCCCAAAAATGGTCCTTTTTGGGGCGCTAGAGTGGCTGGCGCCGTCGTTCAACAGGACGGCGCCAGCCTCTTTGGCGCCGTCCCCCTGCCGACGTGGCGGGGCGATGCTGAGGTGGCTAGGGGGAGTGCGCCAGAGTGGCTGGCGCCCCCCCCGAAATTTTTTATTTTTGTTTTATTTGTTTGATATTTTTTTTCACGCTTAGGGACACACAAGAACCAATCATAGAAAAATTGAACTCAAATGGACGTAATATGTGACATGTAGAATTTTTCCTCTCCTCTCCTCTCTCCGAACTAGTGCAGAGGAGAGAGATGTGCAACTTTTTTATTTTTATTTTATTTTTTTGATATTTTCTTCACACTTAGGAACTCACAGGAACCAACCATGTAAAAAATAAACTCAAACGGACGAAATATGTGGCATGTGGAATTTTCCAAAGCTCCACCGAAAAACTTCTCTCCTCGAAAACACAATCTTGCAAGCGGAATTTGGAGGTTTTAATATCGCCGAACCCGGCAAAGCTGGGGAGAATCGGATGTAACTTTTTCTGTAGATGTCCGTGCATATATTATTTGCCTGATTCCGAGTCCGTATGAGAAAGTTACGCCTATTTTAATAGATGACATATTTTGTCCGTTTCGGTAGAGTTTTGGAAAATTCTACATGTCACATATTTTGTCCGTTTGAGTTTATTTTTTATACGGTTGGTTTCTATGTTCTCCTAAGTGTGAAAAAAATATCAAAAAAAATGAAATAAAAATAAAAAAATTACATCTCTATGTACTGTTTAACTTATATATCTCATTTCATGTGGTTATATTTTGAATTAGATTAAGTAATTTCATATAGTGGTAGAGTGCATTATGTTTAACATGCTGATCAAAGAGTTTTACTAAAAGAGTTATGGTCTAATTTTAGTGAAGGTGCAAAGTAGACTAAGTGGTATGCTAAATATTTTCAAACTTAGCTAAGTGGTAGTTCGAGTTTAATTTTTTTTTGTGGTTGGTTGTATCGTGATCCTGAGTGTGAAAAAACATCAAAAAAATAAAATAAAAATGACACCGTTGCAACTCCATACAGAGAAACAGGAATAGAGGCGGCGGCGCCAGCCATGCTGGCGCCCTCCTCCTGCCACGTCGGTTCGCGTGCGCCACGGTGGCAGGAGGACGGCGCCAGAGAGGCTGGCACCGTCCCGTTGGATGACGGCGCCAGCCACTCTGGCGTCCCAAAAAGGACCATTTCTGGGATAAGTTTTTTCAGGGGTCTATTTGCGAAATAAGTTTTTCAAAAGGACCAAAATGTGAAAAATCCAGTCCTGCCGCCGCTGGTGCGCGCAACGTGCTACGGGCTAACGTCGCGAATCAATCCGGGCTACGTTGCACTCATCGCGCGGGGCTTGGGAAACGCGAGCTTTCCGAGCTCCATGTGCGTGTCGCGGCAAGAAGCGAGGCGGCGGTGGTGGCGCGCTCATGGCCAGGCTACCGCGATTCCGCGAAGCGGACCGGCAACGGAAGAGGCGTCAGGGCTTGGCCCCATAAATTCAGCATCCGCAGAGCCAAAAGTAGGTAAAAGTGGCAAATTAACTTTGTGGGCAGTGAAATGATGAGAGGAGGGGAGCAATCAAACAAGTGCTCCTGTTCCCGTTAAGGTTCAGGGTTTCAGATAAAGTTGGATCCAGGAATCCAGCAACCATGCCTTCTTCTTCTACCCAATCAGACATACCGAATGCTGCAATCCGTCCTTTGCTTTGCTGTTTTGATAAGAACAGAAAAAAGAAGAGTAAATAGAGTTTGGAGGGAAGTAGATTACGAGCTTTTGGGTCCAAAAGTGAAGGAACAAGGCCAGTGAGACTGTTCTGAAATCCATCTCACAATTTTGGCAGGAAGCACGCTTTCCACAAAAGAAAGGGAAGGTTACAGCATCCCAGGACCAATAGCTCTATACATTGTGAAAGAAAGAGAAAACGAGATGCTAAAGGCAAAACAATAAATTTTACATACAATTATTGGGTAACAGCAAGCCTAGAAGCACATGAATATGCACAGAAAGGTAGAAGTTCTACAAAATGCTATTCACTCAAGAAAAACCCCATGTACAGGGGAAACAGGGCGATGAAAGCAACTATTAGTATGAGAGAGATTAAGTAGTCAGCAATCCAGGCTCTATCACCTTACTTGCCGGGGCTTTGTCCCTCTGCTCCACATAGGCAGATGGGAACCAGCCAGCTTTTCCTTTGCATTCCCCTTCAGACCACCCATTGGGAGCCACCTGTGAAGACAGACAAGGAATGCTTAGTTAGCATTCTGGTCCCCCCTGGTCACCCTTGGAGAATTAAAAATATAACAAGGGGACAATTATATGCTTGCACTGCATCTGATCATAGTCCTGCAGCGGTCACAGATGTATACACTAGGATGCTACCGCAGTGAATTATACAGTACATGGTTCTTTACTTCAGAATTTTGGTCATTAGTTACCCCATGGCATGAATAAAACCTGCAAAAACCATGTATACCTGCCGGACCACAACATAATCTCCCACGGAAATACTGAGCTCGCCATCAGCCTGAGCATCGAATGGATGGATTACCTGACCAATGAGTAATTCACAAACTGCTCAGCTTGTATAATAATGTGCTGATCTGTTTTACTGATTGTGTAACTGCTAAAATTGTTGAACTAGTAATTTTGGCATATACTGATTATCCTTTGCCTGTATATGTTTGCTTCTTTTTACCAGGTGACTTCCATACCGACATTCGGTGATAGTATTTACCAGGTGTAAAGAGGAATAAAGTGAAATGTAAAGATTAAGGTAAAAGGTTATGTTGAAGAAACACCGGTATGTTCAAGTTGCACCTTTTGAATTTAAATTCACATGATTTCAGACTACCATCTTTACCAACAGTAGCTCTAAATTCCATTCCTAAAAAGTTAAAAAAAAAGTAGCTCTAAAAAATCACATATGTATTGCTCATGCTATCGAAATTTTAACTTCTAAGGTGGCTGCAGAATCAAACCGCTTTATATATATCATGTGGACATAAAATTCAGTCGAAGTACCATATTTGTAAGAGGGTGTATCTATGTCTAAAACATCTCATAAACAGATAGCACAGATACAATGCCAGTAATACAAGCTAAGGTCTAACATTTTATACTGCACTGCAATTAAATGAAAGACAGTGATGTTGTGAGTTGGTGACACATTATAAGTTCTGGTATGATCATTATGAGCAGCAGTGCAAAGGGCACACATACCTCTCCAACATAATGCACTTCCTGACCATTCCTTGTAGGTTCACTAGTTTCAGTCCTTGTAGGTTCACTGGTTTCAGTCCTTGTAGGTTCACTAGTATTAGTAAATATGTGATCTTCGGATGTGCTACGTGAATGCTCATGTGTTGCAGCTGTTTTAGGATCTGATGATGTCTCATCATAATGGTTTTCCGGCTCATCATGGTGTTTTGCTTGGACCATCTGTGCAAATTAGCAGAACAAAAACAGAGTGATATTCAGCATAAACATACACACTTTTTCCAGGTTTATGGCATTCGAATTTCCTCTAAGCCAACAGGTGTAAGAATCTCCATTTCTTTCTTTTGCAACAGTTATGTACCTCGTCGTGAAGTTTGTTCAGAATATCAGCAGCATTCTGATGATAAGCTCTCTCAGCATCAACCTGCAAGTGGGTCATAAGGTAAATTGGAGATGCATGACTCTTTATGAAAGGAACATCCTATGGACAAATGGTATAAGTACTGGAACTACTAAATGGAAATCCAGATGAGAAATTTATATGGGAACTTAAGCAACCACATGATATAAAAGATAAGATTGTTACAATCTAAGGTGAGCAGGGAGAAAAGGAACCCTGTATGAGAGTGTGGGCTTAAGAGTCAATACCAGGCCCTTAGGAAAACCGATCAAATTCCTGGTATTAAATTTTATAAGGACTGGGACAAACCACCCCAACCAACCAAGGCCTTAAACAATGGAGTGGGATTTTTCATTGTCGTAGATATGCAGAAACTTCTAGGATTATGGGTCAACATATTGCAAAGATATGCTCTAACTAACAAAGGGGCCTGCACATTGGGGTTGACAGGGAAAAAAAAAAAGCAACATCCAAACATGGCCACAAACACCAATTCTGCTCAGAACCCAAAGGTTATTGTGACCTTGATGTCTACAGTTTTCTACCCCTAATGGTGTACATGTATTGGTTACACCATACTCAAAGCAAAAGAGAAATAGCCATGTTGTTACGATGGATAGGCTCAACTTGCCATGTACATGAAGTCTTAACCATTGGCAAAAACATATTATTTGATGATGTTAAGCAATATTTTTATGAGAACAGTGAGGCTTATCATACCATTGCAAGGAGACGGTCAAAGGTAACCTGTTGTTGCTGAACCTCCACAGCCTCCATAGCTGCAGTTGCCTCTCTTCCTAATGCTGATAATGTAGTTCGGAGCTCAGATAATTTTGATTCTGCATGTTGCAGTTTCACAGAATTATCTGCATTACCGCTACTCTCCTTGGACTTCAGTTGCTTTCTCATCACATCAGCTATCTAATAAAATTTATTTTTAGTATCTGGTTGTCATCTCTGGTGAACAGGAAGTCTCACTTCGGGTAATTACCTGAGATTCCATATCTTGTCTGATCCGTTGATAACGGTAAGTTAACAGGCGGGCATCTTCAAGAGGAGCACTCATTATCATTTCTCGAAGAGGCTCAAAAACCTGCAAGATTGGAGCCGAAATGAAGCAATTAAGGCACTCAGTTTTACACAGCAATAAAAAAAAATTCCCTCCAGCTCCATGCACTGCATAAACAAACTATGCTACGTCCATCAACTTAAATATCAAGCATCAGCAAAGCTGAATAAGTTTCTGTTTGTAGCAAACTTCCATATATAATATGTACTCTTGGAGTAGAATCCACCAATTGTTTTTTACACTGTTTTGTTACTTTCAGGAGAACACCATTTAATTTCAGGTAACTCAAGGGTCAAGGGTACAAAAAGAAAAATATATGGAAACCTAGAAGATTCAGGTTAAGAACATTAAACAAGATTCTAGGCAGCATTGAAATTTCTATGCAATATAAAATAAGTTAGTGGTGTTGGTGATAGTAAGTGCCATCGCACACCACATCTTGAGTTAGTGGGATGTTTTGAGGATAAGCATAACATCTGTGCATGTGTTTTTTTAGAAAATAAGTGCATGTTGCTTATAATGATGCTATTTAGGGATTGATGTGTGCTTGCAGATTATATATGTTTTCCTCTAGGATTTATATAAAGCTTTTTGAGTATACAATTTATGATATATTTATTTAAATATCCGTTGCATGTTGCAATGTATTTGTTTTTGCTTGGTTCTGAAAACTTAAGAAAGAGAGGAAAATGATAATATGACAGCACCTGCTCTCCAAGAAATTTAAGAAGATTCTCCCGCTCTTTCTCCATTTGGCTATGGGAATTACCAAACTCAACTGAAGCCCTTGCAAGAATAAAACCAAAATTTTGATTGTCGTTTCCATATCTGCAACAATCCTCAGCTAGCTTTTTCACTACAGGAAGAAACATCGCAACGTGATCACACAAAAATTATAAAATTTGGAAGGATGTTGAACAGATATTCCATGGTAACAGTTACCAATCTCCATCTGTTTGGTGCTGACAGCAATGAAACCCTCGACACCTCGTACAATACTTCGTTGGAAATGCTATACAATGAGACATATGCCCAATAACTTTTACATCATGAGCTAGACAACTTTCTTATATCACATATAACAAACAGTTGGAGCACATACTTTAGCAGCTCTTGTACTGTTGTATAGCCTCTGAAGATTCTGGTGGCACTCAAGTTCCGCCTCATCGACAAGAGAAGGATCCTGGTTATAGCGTGCACTGAACTGCTTCCGAACAGCCTGTAATCACAAGGAATTCTGTTATTAGTTACCAAACAAGCACATCTACTGGAACAAGTGAAACTCAAGCTTCGGAACAAATCATCTGATATACAGAAATGCGCAGCAAATGAGCAGTTCATGTTCAGCTCCTTCCACCAACTGCTGGCCTGCTGCTATCCCAACCCAAGCACTCGCCACTCCCTACCCTGATTCCTACCACTAGGTATGCGGAATTAACTGCGGGGAGCAAACAAGAACTCCAGTAACCCGACCACGCAGCTCCCCGCACTCCCAAATTCCGGTTTTTTAGCCGCGCATCGGGCCACGCGCTGATCGGTGGTGGTGGCATAGTGGGGAGACGGAGCCACTGGAATTGGGCAAAGGAACCCGTACCTGCTGCTGCTTGGCGACGTGCTCCCTGAGCTTGCTGGCCTGCTTCCTGAGCGTCTCCATCCGCGCCGCGCCGATCGAGCGAACCAACGCCGGCGAGGATTGGATTGGATTGGATTGGATTGGGGAAAGTAGCAGTAGCGTGCTCCCAGACTAACTAAAAGGCAGGCTTAGCACACTAGCAGAGTAGCAGGCAGCCAACTCGCAACCGCGACTCCGCGAGTCCCCCCGCAACCACGAGCCAACGGGAAGCCTCCAGAAAGCGGCGGCGGCGGTGGGCGGTGGCTGCTGCTGTCACAGGGTGGCGACGGAATCGAGCCGGAGCCTCGCCCGCGTCGCGCGCGCGCTCGCTCGAACCGATGCCTCGACGCGACGTGGGAACAGTACAGCGCGCACTACACTAGGCCAGCCGCGCCGGTATACTGCCTCCTCGCCTTTATTCTGCGGCCTCCCCGAGTTTTGTTCGGTTGCGGTGGTGGTGGTGGTGGTGGTGGTGCGGTTGGTGAGGATGGATTGGCCCTTGCCCTGGCCCCGATTCGCTGCCGCGGCCGCTGCCGTTGCCGCGCGGGTGGCGGTAACTGGTTGATGCGGCTCGCGTCGGCGCACACCGGCGGAGTCCCCGCTGCTGTGCAGTTGTGCTTGGGCGGCTGGCGTGACGGGGAAACCCCGAGTTTGCGGGCTGTAGCGAACGGGAAAACGTGACAGCCGGATGCCAGATGAGAAACGTTGCCACGGGTCGGTGGTGTGGAGCGGGCGCGCGTTACTCCCACGCCATGGCGTGGTGGTGGTGTGGGTGCGCGTAGGAGCGAATTAACCGGAAGGGGCGGAGACGTGGAGTTGGTGCCTTGGTGGCGTCGTCGCGCGACTCCGACCCGGCCGGGAGTGGAAAATGGAGATTGCCCTGGTTGAAGGCTTCAGCTTTGAATCTTTGATGATAACAACCGTGCGGCTGTGCGCGATTGCTAGTGGGTCAAGCTGCCACTTCACCGCGGTTTATGACTTATCTAATCCTCTTCAGACAATTCTTTTCTTTTTCTAAGAGGGAAATTTTTTTAAGTATGTGTGTCGTTCGCATACATGAATACCGTCAAACGTATCAAACACCCGCTAGAGTATGAGCATCCATGTAACCACCAAGACGTGCCCACGTGTATTCCTTTCTAAAATTAGCAGACATCAGTGTCAAACTTAGAATATAAACCCAATTAGATACACCGTCACAGCATGTTACCACCTGTAGAACTTCCCTGTTGCTGGCCATTATTCCGGCTGACGGAGGTAGACACTGTTTTTTTACTGCTGCTTCTGCGTAATGTGGACTACAACCCGATCGCTTTCGCTTAAATAGGCTATCACGTCATCTCCTCATCTAGTTTGCAAAAAATAATAATTTCATCATGCCATCTCAACTGAATGCTTTCTGAGGCATGCATTAGTTACTGGAGTTTCCCACTGGCAAACTTGCAATTGACAGTCCACCTATACTCCCTTGTCCACTGGAAATCAAGCTATCCACGGTCACGGCAGCTTCCGCCGGCCCGTAACAGAAAAGAAAATTATGAAAATAATTGGAGGAACCAGTACTGCATAAACAATGAACACACAGCAAAATCCACCATATCCGTCACCTCAAATGAGCTGGACAAATCGGCAAGATGCAAGGCTGTGACCTGCATCACCGATTCACCATTGTAGGGAAACAGCCACACTCCCAGTCTCAGAGGCCAGAGCAAAGCTGCCCAACAGAGAGTTACATACCTGCATTACACATTAGTGCATTGTTTCACCTAGGTATGAACAGAAGCATTTTAATAACATTTCATACAGGCGTTCGCGAAAAACATTTCATACAGTGATAATAGTACTTAATATATCCTCATTCCTGACAATGGAAGGAATGTCGCTGCCACAGTATCCAGACATTTATACTCAACAGTCACCAGTAATTAACTACCATCACGAACATCAACACAACGGTGTTACATGCTACAGACAAAGTTATCTGCCATACATGAAACTTAAAAATCTTCAGTTTTCTTTCTGAAATACTATCATGAATCAATCATCAAGCCAACCACAATTGCCTGGATATGGGAGTGGGAACAAGGACTTAGGTGCAAAAGACAACACGAAACCAGTGCTTGTGTTACGGTCAGACATATAGTTTCGAGGTGCTTCGGTTTGTTCATGTGCTCGCAGATTAATATCTCTACTTCTCTGAACATGATCACTTTCCATGGTCCCATGATCAACTTCTTCCACCATGGAAGCTCCTTGTTTCTTAGATGCACCTCTATGTCGTTTCCTAACATAAACAATAAGTTTTTTGTTTTCAACTTCTCTTTTGGGAACATACTTCTGCATGTGCTCTTCCATAACTTTTGGAAATTTGAGGTGATCCCTTGTTGCACTTCTGAGATGTTCTACCATCGTATGCTTTCTGAAAAAGTTCTATGTGAATAATAAGTTCCACGAATATAGTGGAGATGGAGAACATATGCTAACAAAAAGGATGAAGTGCAAAAAGCTTACAGGCAATAGAAGAAAACTTGGCCCTTATTAGTTTTCCATTTCCTTGGAAGACAACCTTTGGGAACAGAGGAAATATTCCTAAAAAAGAGAACACCGTGTCAACAAAATATCCTTTTAGAAGGGCACTATCACTAGCAAATAGTGCCAAATACATATCACACCTGGGCAAGCACTTGCGATGGTATGCTATTGGACATCGCCTGCATAATGCCAGGTGCATTTTCTTGTTGTTTTCCGCCCCTTGTTTTTTCTTGATACTCTCCTGCCCCTTGTTCTTGCATGTTTCCTCGTTATATTTTTCCCCTTTGTTCTTGCATGCAAAGCATTCATGCAGGGGGCATTCAAAAACTGGTGGGTTCTTACTAGAGTCAAATTCAGCAAGACACTTAGGATGGTAAAAGCGTCTGCATCTGCTCTTACTGCACTGATATACCTAACAAAAAGTGAAGGAAAAGTTGGAATTTAAAGGAAATTGGTTTATGCTGACGAGCACATACAAAAAAAAAGTTCTTGAACTTTAATGTGTATACAATTCCAAAGTATCGCTCTCAGATTCCTCAAAGTTATCATTGACTCCTAGCCATCCCTAAAAATTGCTTTCAAGCAGTGCCTTAATTCAATTCCATAAGAAAATTGAAAAACAAAATGATAAATCAAGGAAATACCAAATACAAGAGGAAGTATCCCAAGGACATACAAAGTTTCTTTTTCTTATACATACCTCAGCTGAACCCGATGACATGTCAGAGGATCCCAACTCTCCACAACCAAAGCATTGGTGTTGCTTATACACACAGTTCTTGCATATGAACTTTGATGATTCCTATATTGTTGAAAAATATTAATGGTAAATGGCAATACTGGAATACTTAAACAAGAATAAGTTGAAGAGGCAAAGGAATATGCACTTACCACTTGTTCTTGACTCATGTTGAGAGTTTCACAGTTAAAATCTGCATCATTGGAAATGGTTCGGTGGAAATACCTTCGACAGGCACCCTCACAGCTACAATAATCAAGTATCATAATATTAAAATAAATTGAACGCATAAAGCGCTTTACCCTGATAGTTTTAGTACAATAAAAAGCAAAAACCTTGAGCCTTTTGCAGCCAAAATCTACAAGAATTATGGCATATGGGAAAATTGTCTACCTAGTACTCGCTCCGGTCATAAATATTTGGCGTTCAGAACAAGATTCGGTTAAACTTTAAAAACTTTCACCAGTAATTTTACATTATGATACTTTATAAAACCCAATAACTTTATGATTTTTGATATTACTCCCGCTGTTGGAAATATAGGGCACACGTGTATTCAGAAATATCAACATTTGTTATTTTTGACAAAAAAAAAGTTAAGCTTCCAATATCTATGTTCAGCACCATACAAGTGGCATCAATGGATTTATATTTAAAAATACTTTCTTATGATTTTAATTTCAGAATTTCAATATTTACAATAATAACATCTATAAGTATTGTTTTCTCAGCGAATGGTAAGGCTCTTGAAAATATAACAGTAACATGACAACAAAAACAGGAACACGTGTGTTGATCAAGAGAGTAAATAGAAGGGAAAATTTGCCAAAACCTACTCAGTGTGATCTGGAAAACTCAAGGTTGAATGTCTTCAATCTATATGAGGACATCGTCTCAAACACAAATCTAATACCCATCATCCTATCAACTATGTTCCAATCCATTGTCCAGTGAGCCTAAACTACAATGCCTTAGACAGTAAAACAACTCTAGTATTAATTTTATCCATCACCCTATCAAGTACAATCCACACTATCGGTTTAGTGCCTTAAATAAGAGAACAATAACAAAGGGGAAAAAATAGTACAACTAAACAAATATATGAAAAAGAAATAGGATAACTAGACAAAGAATAGGCATACCGTATCAAATTACCACCATCATCACAAATTGCACAAATATGGCCATCCTGCATAAAGAATGTAAGTTTTGTTATATTGGATGAAAATAGATTTACAATTTAGAGCTGATATGCCACGGAGAAGATTCTATATGCAAAATCGGCAAGCTAACTCTTTCGTGCAACTAAAGGTAGGAATCAACTAATCGCGTCATAAAACACCAGATCTATATCTGATCAAGGCTCAAACAAAATATTATTTTTCTTCTAACATATGCCTTTTTATTTGTCCGGAAACTAACGACAAGTACCACAACAAGGATATTTAAGAAGATGGATTTTTTTTACCACAAAGCCCATCCTCAATTTATAATTCTTTGAATCCTCTTTTGACACATGATTCTCCACCATAGTTGCTTCAACTGCATAAACATTTAGTAAACACTTAAGGGTCGGAGGAGTAAGGAAACCAGTAGAAAATGCAACAACATAGTGCAGTGAAAGTCGTTATCTGATCGGAGCTCCAAAGTTAACATTTTCTCAAGGATGCTCATGGAATCATTTAGAATAAGCTATAGAGGTGACAACATTTTTTTTACTAGATTTTCAACTATAAGTGAAAGTGACCAGAAACTAGACCCCGGACCCACTTACTAGATTTTCAGATATAAGTTGTAGGGGCCAGTACCCCGGTGTACACCTGGCCACCCAATCCATCAAGCATGTTGTGGGATGAGACCGGCCTATGGTTGTTAAGTGGCCGCGCAGTAGCAAGGCAACATTATCACCGCATAGCTCAGAGCTGATGAGAGACATGCACACACGACACAAGGAGCCCTATGTGTTAACAGTAAAATTTGGTAATCGGCAAAGACGTCATCGGCTTAGAATCATTATCGGTTGCAGCATCTCGGAATCAGCTGATGGGAGTTATCAAGTCGCCAATAGTCGAATTCCTGCTATATTCGGTTAAGGAAATCAATCTACTAAAGGAAGCTTATCCCTAAGTGACCGAGTTTAAAGAGGATGCGGCATGGCAGTTTATCTATTAATTAGGAATAGTTTGTTAGTTTCCTTTTATCTTTAGGAAAGTGTGTTTAGTGTCCGATAAGGACTTTATATTTTCCTTTTATCTTTAGGTTAGTTTCTTTCTTGTCCGACAAGGAATTGTATCAACCTATGGGTATAAATATGTACACCCGGGGTCTATGTAATCTATCTCCACGATCAATACAATTCGGCGCATCGCCACCCTTTTTATTTCTACTTTTGTTTTTACGTTCCGGCGAAACTTGGCACCCGACGCGAGGCTGCATCGTCTTCGATCTCTGGCGAAGGGATAAGTCCAATGTTCCGTCGGTCCAGGCAATTGTATCGTCTACGTCGGCGTCATTCAAGGCTGCATCAGTACATTCGACCTCTTGGATTGATCTGGTTTGAATGATATATTTGCCTACCTATTTATCATATGTCTCTGTTAATATAGTCTTAGCATATCAATTTAGCTCTATCGGCTGCTTCTCGTTTTAGGGTTTCTGCCGGTATTGGCTAAATCGCATTGCTAGATTAGTTTAGCTTAGACATCTACCACCCTGAAAATCAGTCATCGGCTTGATTGTCTAGATATTGTGTTTCTTTTCATACTTAGTGTTGTATCAGTTAAGTTTGATCTACTAAGTCGTGCTTAGAACCATAATCTCTAGCCTGCCTCTTGATTGCCAATAAGGGTTTCATCGGGGTTTCAGCTGGTGAGTTATCTGGATGTTGCATCGGCTCATAAGGATTGCATATACATATAAGTTGGATTTAGCCGATGACAACAAAGGTTTCACTGTTTAATCTAATCTTATGGATTTCATGATATCGGACCTCCAGCCGATGTGTGCTTTAACCCTCGGATCGATGCTTATTTATCATATCATTGCTAACCGATTGGTTTATACATGACTATATTGTTATTTTATTATAGCATCATCAGCCGATTGCCTTTATATCATTATCTACATTGGACATATAGCCGATTGCTTAAACCCTATCTCTATCGGCTGGTATCGGCATCGGCTGTTATCGGCTATCGGCTGGAACTACTCCATCGGCTTGTCAGTTGATCGGCTGTTTTGATCTACTATTTGCATATCTTGTCAGTTGCAGGATCAAACTGACTGGCACGCCCACATCTCATCAATTTTTAGACCTGTACAGGAGCTAAGCAGATCTCCCAGGCCAGTGTGTTCGATTTTTTTTTGTCAACACTATGCCACAGCCATATGTGCGATGCACAAAACCAATCACTCTGTGGTGCCACCAACCATATGGAAGTTGTGTTTGGAGAATTAAAGGCGTGGAGGAAGCACAACTTTGGAGTTCACAAAGCCCTCTTTTGCATTCAATGAAGCTTGAGGATTGGCAAGCGACGCACTGGGCTAGACTGCAAGAGCATAAGGGGTCACACGAGGGATGAGATCACAGCCGCATAAGGCCATGGTGGCTCAAGCTTTCAGAGATCACAAAGAATGGCAAATAGGTGATGAACTCATGATCCACACACAACCACTACGAATAATATTTTCGTGAATCGGGCACTTGAGCATTTTGGTTTGTTCCCTAACATAAGTTTAAATATAAACTATATATTATACTTGAAATATCGAGTGAATGGATAATTCGGATGTCTATCCTCCGTATAGCTAGAAATATCTTGCATGTATTGGTCAGCTATGGTCTATGGCTACTAGTCCGCCATAACCATCAGCACTCAAGGCTGAATGGAAAAGGTTAAAGTCTGACTCAAATGACTCAAATGTAAAGTTTTTTTAAAGCAAAAGGTAATGTGTAATTACTTAGGCATATGTGCATTAGTAGCAATTTTTTTGTGCTATTTCAAAAGGATGTTTGAAATCGAACCTAAACGATTTGGGGGTGTAACAATTTTGAATCAAATAGCGCACTTGAAGATTAACGAATACACGTATAATAGAAAAGGCTCACTTATACTGTTGTGCAAAATGACCAGGATGGTCCGAAGAGGACTAACAACCGGAACTACCCAAAAGCACTTGGGGGTGAAATTAACATTCAAATGGTTGTCTACTTGCATTGCATAAATCAAATAGACAAAACATGCAATTTAACCCACCTACAAAACCTCTCTTAGTCTTCCCCACCTTTGTCATCATCGATTTCACTATCACCAACCGACGACCATCGTGTTGTTTAGCACACACCATTTCACTTGTGATGCTCCCTTAGATTAGGGTGCGTCACCATGAGGAAGGATAATGTCACCAAATAGAACGAACCCTAGATCTAGATCCACTACAACACAGAGGGAGAAGGAGAAGATAAAAACCAAATAGAGTACTTACGTTGTTCAGATCTAGAATAGCTTGCGCTCAATTGAGGTCCTCCGCTTCTAGATCTACATCCGGCGTTGCCTTATTGAGAGGGATGACAAGGAGAGCAAGGGGAATATGCAACTTGGTTGCACGCCAGGGCGATGGAGTTGGATGAGGGGAAGAGGGCAATGGGGCCCTTTTTATAATATGTTGGCCCTTAGCACATATTCCCACTAGGTATCATTTTGGAATTTGTTGTAAATAATGACGCATGTATAACATTCCTTTTATGATATTGGCTAAATGAGTGTACCTGTTTGACAAATAAAATATTTATATACATTAATTCCTATGTTTTCAAATAATATCCTTGAAATAATTATTAGCAACCACCTAGGAGAGAGTGGGCCTAATTTCTTTTAAAAATATGGCACACCATAAATATAATATTTGTATACATTACTTCCTATTGTTTCAAATATAATCCTTAAAATAATTGTTAGTAACCACCAATAACAAGTGGGCCTAATTTCAACATGTTCGGTAGGCCTAGCAGCTGCAGCACTGCAAATAACAGTTATAACTGTTGGCCAATTGCGGTGGGACACGCTTCACATGATACAACAGATGGCCGGCTGTAGCAATTCGGTTGAGCTTCACATGATACAGCAGATTGCCGAATGTAGCCGTTCGGCTGGGCTGTGCAGCACAGTCCTGCACAGCAAAAAACGCTATAGTTTAGGGCTATCGAACAAGACCTTTCTTTTAAAAGAAAGTGTGACACACTACAGTTGTAGCCGAATACTAGTCAAAGGAATGGTCCAAGCATGACAAAGTTTATCACTCAACTAAACACTCATGTGCGTAGGGTTACTAGATAATGAGTCGATGAGCGTACTTGCTTAGGGGCTTAGTTTTTGTTAACTAAGCTTTGCTAATTCATCAGTGAAACAAGTTAACTAAAACTAGTGCCACATTGTGAGGGCTTTTCTGTGTGGGTTTTAAATGCACAAGTAATAAACACAGAGTTGGTAGATAAAAAAAATAGCCCAGACAATTCTAACTATATTAAGTAGTTATTAAAGGAAAACGTCTCATCTTTTCATCTATACTTATACTTATCAGTCAAAATTTGATTCTTTTTTTAATTTTAAATTTGAAGCTGATTTTAGGTTTTTTTTTTAATATCGGACTATATTTTTCGGCCTTCGCTTTTAAGTCGCTAAGAACACGTATATAAAAGTTTTATTAACAAATTACTTCTGGTTTGCAATATGATGTTTGACTTATTTCACAACTAAGCCAAACATTGGGGATGTTAAATTATTGAAAAAGCAAATATTAGGTTTACTTGCGAAGGCTTGTTGGGACCTTTCCAATGTTAGGAATGATATGATTTTTAGGAACAAAATTATGAACACCTCTCGTGATTTCTTCTACAACGGAGGAACCTTCTGCATCATACTTAACAACAGCTCCTAAAGGCCCTGATGGCTGAAATCATGAAGAGTGGGCTGACATCCCTACAGTACTCTCTAGTACTTTTGTTATCTTTGCTTTAGGCCTGACCGCCTGATAGCTTAGTGTATTTAGGTGTTGAATTTACTACACTTCATGTTTATCTTTTTGACTGTACTATCCCTAATTGAGGTGTGGTCATTGTCTCGTTGGTTTTTTTTATATATATAAAAACCTGTAAACTGAAGTCCCTGCATAAGAACTCATACTTTTTTTAACCAAAAGTAGAGACTTTGTTTACATTTTGCACTCGTACTATTTATTTACATTTTTTAACCAACGTGTAAACTGGAGCTCTAGCATAAACACTCCTAGTTTCTGCTTCTATTTTAACCGTTTATCTTAAAAACATAGAAAATGATCATCAGAGACTATATTTAGGCAATTCTAACCTTGTTAAGCATCCATTTATACTACAGTCGTACTCCCTCCGTTCCTTAATATAGGGCGTAACTTCTTTTCAATTGGATTCCATAATATAGGGTGGCAACTCCTCGGTGCATGCAGGAATTGATGAGTACTCCTCGGCTCCTGTACTGATGCATGCAGATGCATGCAGAGAATTAACTGATGACTCGGTTTGGCTTTTAAAAAGCTCAGCTCCTGGCCCCTCTCTCTCTCTCGCTCTCACTGCTTCCTCTCTCTCTCTCACTGCACACACCGCCCCTCTGTGACACTGCTCACACTTCATATGCCGACGATGGCGACGACAGAGGAGAAGATTGCATCTACACGACTCATGCGGCAGCAGGCGCAGGTGGAGTTCGGCCGCGCGCGATCACTTCGTCTCCACGCCGTGCTCATGCGACGTCGTGCTCAAGTGGAGCTTGGCCGTGTCCGAGTGCTCCGCGACGCCGCCGTCCGCATGCGGCAGGAGGCGCAGATGGATATCGCTCATGCTCGTACGCTCCGTGTGCATGCCCTTCGCATGCGGCTGCGAGCGCAAGCAGAGCTCGTTCGCTGTTGCAACACCGACGACGGCAAGGGTGACAACGGAGAGAAGGCAGGGGATGCCGGAATCCGAGAGGGCAGCGTGGTCGACTCACTGGCCGGCGCCGATCGTTTCACTGACTCTGACAACATTGGGTACGTTGTTGACTCACTGGCCAACAACACATTTGTTGCAGATTCACTAGAGGAGACTAACGCCGAGGAAAAAAACAACTGATTCACTAGAGGTATAATCAGTGCCAATGTTGCTGCTTGTTGTCATTGCTAGATGGTTTAGCTAATGTGTATGCACTTGATTGTTCTATTCAATTTAATGCAATGTCTTTTTCGTGAAGATCAGAGAAAAACAAACATGAATACTCCTCTTTTTCTTGCTAATTGTTGAACGATGCAAAGTTACAAGAGAAATATCCTAACTATGTATTGATGAAATCTACCGCATCTAGATAAATTTGCTTATCACATTGCAACCTTATTGGAAGTTGACCATTTCTCTCTAATGATCTCTTCTTCATATGCGGGATTGCATAGTGCTGCCCTTCTTTTGCAAGCATAATCTCTCTCATGCACCCTTGTAGAGTAAGAAACACATGATTCGATCTATTCGCCGGATATTCTTCATATGCTTTGATCACATTTGTCTCAATTTCTTCGATGTTTGATGGAGATGACTTCTGAAACAATGACTGCAATGCTGCAAAAAAACCTAAATCCAAAACATTAAGATCTGGAGAGTTTGGTGGTTGACATGTAAGTCGTATATCCCACCCATCTTCTTGTGCAACACTTAAAAATGCAGGATCATCAACTGCAATATGGGTCTTTGCATTGTCTTGTTGGATGAATATTGGAAGTCCTCGTTCCTCATTAGGCCATTTATGTTTGATGGCCGGCAAAACCTTTTCAATGAGATAGTTCCGGATAATGTCCCTCGTGACAGATGTCATGGCCTTGAGCTCCATGGTTCCTGTATTAAATCATGCAATTAAACAAAATTAGTAGAGTTGTCATATGTGGAGTAACTAAGCATAATTAAACAACTTACCCCTCTCCCTACTGCGACTACTCCTCTTGGCTGCCTCCCAGTAAGTGAAGGGAAAAATCCCAATTTTTCCATCAAATGTACATTCGCCATACTCATCAAACCTTGGACGGGCTTTCGCTGCTAGAAACATAACCTTATCAATGAAATTTTTGCTCTTCACATTTCTTCGAGGGTTCGGTTCATCAAGTGACAAGTAATAATTTTCGTCCGGCTTTGTCCTATAAAACCATTTCTCATCTATATACACAATGTTGTACAAAGATTTGAAAGTTGGCTCGTCCGGTATGCTTTGGCTATCAAGCATTTGTATGCAAAATTGCACACAGGCCTTCATGTTATCTTCGGTCAAGGTGAACTTTATGGCATTTGTATGGCGCCTAAACCTTCCTTCCTTCAAACGCCTAAACAATGTGGTTTTTGACATATGCAAAGCGTTAGCTAGGTCACGGAGTGTTCGGCGTTGCCTAAGCGGTACATCTTTGATGGCATCAGGGTTAAAAGAAAGTTTCTTGCGGCCACAGTTATTCTTCTTCTTCGATTCGAAAGCTTCAATTCCACCTCCAATTTGTCCATGTCGCCATACATGCTGAACAACTCTCCATGGAACCCCCATATCAGTAGCAACTGACTTTGTCACTCCCTCCTTCATCATACCAGGATCCGATCTCTCCAAACACAATGCATATATGGCTCGTTTCATATCAGGAGGGTAGTGTCTCCTCCTCTTGATATTGATACCTACACATGCATGGTGGATGATGGCTGAGAACGTGCAGGCTATACTATGGTTGGCATGCATCGGCTAGTTTGCTTAAGCATGGCACTGTGCATGTGTACATGCAAAGGCCTTCAACTCGTGCAGCAAAAAGACACAGCAACAAAAAGAAAATGAACGTGTATTACCTGCATCGACTGCTCCATCGGTGGTTTGATCGCCGCCACCGCCGCCGTCGTCGCCACCACCGTCGTCATCGCCGCCGCCGCCGCTGCCGCCGCCATCGTCGTCGCTGCCGTCGCAGCCACCGTCGTTGCCACTGCCGCGGCCATTGCCATCTTCACCATCTGTGCGTTGAAACAAAATTATAGTCACACATGCACAAGAAAAAAAAGAAGACAAAGCAAGAGAAGAAGCTCCTATGAACACCTTCATTGTCATAATCCCAAACAAAGTCATAGTTCAAATCAGATATATCTCCATCGAAATCCTCAACTTCGTCCCAATTGATGATGGGTAGATTTAGATCAAAACCAGCCATTACGTACGTTGAACCATGGGAGGAAAGAAGAGAGATGGAAAAAAATGTGTGGTGCATTGCCCATATTTATAGGAGAAAATTTTGCTGGCAAATAGTGGCGCCAAGTGAAAATTTTCTATTCATTTTTTATCGCTGATGGCGCCATCCAAATTTTCGATCAAGCATGCATGCATGGGGCTTTCCAAATTTTTGAATCAAAACAATCCATACATGGCGTTATGCCAGGCGAGCAAAGCACGCTAGCAAAAATGCATCTGCATGCATGCTGGCTATTCGCGCGGAAAGTACAGGTCGAGCGCACGCTGCATGATGGTTAATGCTAGCGTATCTACCGCGCAACTACCTAAACGTCGCTCTTCGAACAGAGAGAATTAATCAGCGTAACTGATATTTAAACGGTTTTATTGGTCTTTGCAACTACAACAGCCACGCCCTATATTAAGGAACAGAGAGAGTAATATTCTAAAGTCACTGCAAGCTACCATAATCTTAGATAGATACAGAAAAAGTCCAACCCAAACCTAGCCTCTAGCTATATAGAGCATTTACTAAAGAAAAACTATTTTTAAATCATTGAAAAAAAACAGAATTCTATATATTGCTAAAGAAAAACTCTTCAATCATTGAAAACATATAAAAAAACTTTAGGTTTTCGGCAACGAGCATTGGCGGCTAGAGGGGTTAAATCCGCCAGTGAGAGTTACGAAATTCGAAAGGTGCTTGTATGGTTTCTAATCTTGTCAGGTAGTAATACCCAAACTCAATCAAATTAAAGCACAGAATGCATCAGACAGATCACGTATTAACAGATTATAGTATTCATCACTTAACTAGTTGCAAAAGACCGGTACAGACGCTGATCGGCTGATGAACGGCGCACTGGAACAACACACTGACCCAGTGACACGACGCGACACACGACTGTTCAAGACAGACACGGACACACACTGGACTCAACCGGACCCGATTTTATTTGCTCCTTCACGACAGACAAACCAGGCCAAAGCGAAAACCCCGCCGTGCTCCTCTCCGTCGCGCACGCGGCACGCCGGCGATGCCTAGCCGGAGATCTGGATGGACTTGACGTCGGGCTTCTTGGCCTCCTCCTTGGGAACCGTGACGGTGAGCACGCCGTTCTCCATGGACGCCTTGATCTGCTCCGGCTTGGCGTTGTCGGGGAGGCGGAACCTGCGGAGGAACTTGCCGCTGCTGCGCTCCACGCGGTGCCACTGGTCCGTCTTCTCCTCCTGCTCCTTGTTGCGCTCGCCGCTGATCTGCAGGATGTTGCCGTCGTCCACCTCCACCTTGACCTCCTCCTTCTTCAGCCCCGGCACGTCCGCCTTGAACACGTGCGCCTCGGGCGTCTCCTTCCAGTCGATCCGCGCGCCGGCGAAGGCCGCGGTCTCGGAGGAGGCGCCGCGCGGGAAGGACGGGAAGATGCTGCCGCTGCTGCTGCCGCCGGAGCCGAAGGGGAAGCCGTCGAAGGGGTCCCAGAGGTCGAGGGAGAAGGGGTCGAACACGTTGCTGCGGCGGATCAGCGACATCGTCGGTTGGATTTGGCGCTTACGACTAGTGTAGTTTCGCGAATTGGAAGCGGATTTTTGGAAGCTTGGGCTTTCGATTGCTGGCTTCTTTTCTCGCTTTGCTTGGATATCTGTCGAGGAGGGGATGGCGTTCTTATATGCGGCGGGGGAATGATAAGGATGGAGAGGAAAGCAGCTTCTCGATAGTTCTCTTCTATTCCTGGATAGACTCGAAAATGCTGGACTTGGTTCTGGGCTCGGTAGATTACGAACGGAACAGTTCAGGTTACCAGCACGACCCGAATCGTCCAGAACAAACTCGAGGGAAAGGATGCTCTGACTTAACTGCTGTGTAGTTGAGTCACTGATATGTGGGCCATAGTAAAATGGGGCCCACATATCAGTGACTGACTCAAGTGCAGTTAATTCTCTGCTTCCAAACTCGAGATATCCAGCAACTTCCAGTCCAAAATTGGAGTGCTTGATCCGATTTTTTTCCTTGAAGACAATGGGAAGGAAATGACCACCGGGCTGGGCTTCTCCTAGTCAGTGGCCCATAGACACAGTGTGTACTCAGCCCATGGTACAAGCTTACACAAATGGGCTCCGGCCCATCGTGAAACTGGCCCACGCCTACCCAAACGCACGCACTGGTCCGAGGACTCTCGACTTCTCGTCTCGAGCCTCCCCTTCCTCGAGTTCGGCCAATGTCCACGGCCTAGCGATCCCGGCAGCTGGAGGCGACGAGCCGACGAGCAGAGGCAGAGGGCGCGGGAGGAGAGAGCCAGAGAGAGGGGGGAAGCGTGGCGAGAGGAGGAGCAGCGCGGGACGCCGCCGCCACCGCCGCAGCCTCAGCCATGTCGGTGCAGGAGTACCTGGAGAAGCACCTGCTGTCGCGCAAGATCGAGGAGGCCGTGAACGCGGCGGTCCGCGCCAAGGCCCCCGACCCGGTGCTCTTCATCTCCAACCACATGCGCCGGGCGGCGCCGGCCGTGATCACGAGCGTGCGGGCGCGCCAGATCCTCGACGGCCGCGGGGAGCCCGCCGTGGAGGTCAGCCTCCACACCAACAAGGCCGTGCACCGCGCCTCCGCGGCCGCCGCGGACGCCCCCGAGGGCGCCGCCGCCGACGCCGTCAGGGACGCCGAGAAGCGGAAGCTGCTCGCCAGGGCGGTCGCCGATGCGGTGCGGGTGATCAACGACAAGGTGTCGGAGGCGCTTGTGGGAATGGATCCGCAGCAGCAGTCGCAGATCGACCAGGCCATCATGGACTTGGACAAGGCGCATCACAAGGTAAATCCCTAAAACCCCAATCGATATCTCTTCTCACTCTATGGAATTAACCTGATCCTACATTGCTGAGCTCTATTTGATGAGAGTTATAATGAGAGATTATTCAAGGGTTGTGCTTTACCACAAACAGTCGATCGATCTGTATAATCAGCCACATGACAGTTCTTAACATTGGTTTGTTCCATGTAGATTTAATGATGAAAATAATTGATGTGTTGTTTTCTATAATTTTTTTTTAATGTCTACTCCTCTTTACTACCATCTCACTTTACTGTCAAGCCTAACTTTGTAGCAGCCAGCTCAGTACAGCTTCTATCGCTTGTAATTGTCCTGCTTTAATAACTATTGACACTGCATCATGTAGGCTGAGATTGGAGTGAATTCTATGTTGGCTGTATCAATTGCAGCTTGTAAAGCAGGTGCTGCTGAAAAAGAGGTAATAGTTCTGTATAAAATCACCACGGTTCTGGGTTAAAAGAAGGTGTTGGATATGGCAATGCATTCTTATAGTTGGTTGCTTATTTCTGTGCAGGTTCCATTGTACAAGCATATAGCAGAACTTGTTGGGAAAAGCGCTACGACACTTCCCATCCCTGCAATTACAGTCATTAATGGAGGAACACATGCTGGAAACAGTCTCCCTATTCAAGTATTCTCACTAAACCTGTAGAATTACCTTTCTTAGCCAACATTTCTCTGCAAATTACTGGATCACTCTTTTCTGCAGATTCCATTAAGAAATCTGCAAAGTTTAAATTTGTTATTCCCATGTTTCTTTCATTGTTTGAAGTTTTCTTTTTCTCTGGGAACATGTTAAGATAGTCCAGGTAGATCAACATCTTGCTATGTTGTCATATATTTTTTTTGAGACCTGCAAGTAAAGTTGCTTCTTTATAGGAAATTATGATCCTTCCTGTTGGTGCCAAAAACTTTGAAGAAGCAATGCAGATGGGTTCTGAGACATATCATCATCTGAAGGTACTATCACTAGACTACTATAACTTGCATGCTGGGCCTACCTTCCCATGGCATGCATCTGCTCCACTCTGATATGTTGACCAACCTGTTATTCAAATAGTTTAAGATTCTGTCCACAAAACTTAACTGGCATTGTATTCTGCTTTTGATGCCCTTTTCAGCTTTCTGTCCACTCTGATTAGTGTTAATTTGTTTGGGTGGATTCCTCCTTAGATAAATTTATTCTTTCAGATGTTCCAAAATTTTGTTTTTATAGTGCGAAGAGAAGCTTACTATCTTCGTGAATAGCTTCTTACCAATTGATTTGATAGGATATCATCTTGGAGAAATATGGTTCAAACAGCTGCAACATAGGTGATGATGGTGGATTTGCTCCAAATATTTCCAGGCAAGTAAGGAATCGTCTGTACCTTTTTGTGGTTCTATTATTGTTTCCCTTTTGGTCACCTGCATATTGATATCAATGTGCCGTATCCGTTGGGTCAATGTTCAGCATAACCGAAGGCTTGGATCTTGTCATTGAGGCAATAAATAGAGCTGGATATAATGGAAGGATCAAGCTAGCAATTGATGTCGCCGCTACCGATTTTTGCATGGGTAAGGATAGAAAGAGTGATTTCTTGGGTATTGGTTGTGTGATTGTTTAATATGCAGTTCCCTTGATCAAATAAAGAATCATGTGAATGATATCTGATTGATCGAATACAAGCTCTCTGCTGATCTCTCATGCATTAAAGAAAGAGTTCCTTATTATTTGAGAAAATCCATGACTCTGTTGATAACTCATTTTTCATTATTTCCATGTTTTTCAGCTTATGTACCTATGGCATTTCTGTTCACTCTTCTTGTGTCATCTCTTGATTTTACTCCCTCTATCCCAGAATATAGAGAGTTTTAGAGTTGGGCACGGTTATTAAGAAAGTAGGTAAAATTGAATAGGAAGGGGTTGTGATTGGTTGGGAAGGGAATGTTGGTGGAGAAGTTGTTATATTTTGGAACAAATCCTAAGTGGTAAAAATTGTTATATTTTGGGACGGAGGGAGTACTATTTTTCATGGCCACCTAGTATTCATTCTTCTTTGTGTCATCAGTGGAATTATGCCATTCAGTATTGCTGGTCAGCCGTCAACCTAATGGCTTATATTAACCGTACAACTTTGAACCATAGAAGCAGAGAACTTGAACAGCAATTAGAATGTGTTGTATGCTATGGTTAGTTTGTTTTGATATATCGATGACCTAAATTTCTGGCTATATTCATGCATTTTGTGCAGGAAATAAGTATGACATGGAGTTCAAGTTTGCAGAGAAATCAGGGCAGGGCTTCAAAACTGCAGATGATTTGATTGAGATTTATAGCCAGCTTTGTTCAGGTATCACATGTCTGGATTAAAATCTTTTTGTTACATCTTTTGATTTCATTCATGAGGCTTATATTTCCCCTTTTCTTTATTATACGCTAGAGTACCCACTTGTCTCAATCGAACAGCCCTTTGATAAAGATGACTGGGAGCATTCGAAGAAGTTTACCACCCTAGAGCTGTGCCAGGTGGCTAATATGTTCTTTTGAGCTTTTATTCTTCTTGTTCAGTATCTCATGACATAACATTTGTTCAGGTTGTAGGTGATGACTTATTGATGTCAGATCCCGAACGCATTAAGCGGGCAGTAAATGAGTATACCTGCAATGCTCTTGTTCTCAAGGTGAAGTATAAGTTATACTTCTATTTTTAATGCACCGAAACTGATTAGAGCTACTTTGTGCAACATCTTACTCGTATTATTGGAACTATCCAAGATTAATACCATCTGAAAGAAAGATTTGGAATTAATATTACTATATTAATAGTTGTTGTCATCTTTGTGCCGGGACGCTCAGTGCTCCCTTTGAATCTTATTTAAGTGACACTGCCATTCCAGTGTTGATTATAGTTCAAGTTTTGTGTCATATGAGTTGATTTCTAAGGCATTTACAAACAATGCAATGAAAACCAATCGTTAATAGGCTAGCATACAAATAGTCAATTCACACGTTTGGCATTTAGTACTTGAATAGGCATTTACATAAATTAATATGATAATAATTCAAGATTAACTATCCACTGGAGGAATTTACTTTTTAACTTTTAGCATGTTGTAGACATAGAGGTGCAAACGATATTTGCATGCAAATGAAGTATGAAGTATTTATTTTCTGGAATCTTCCTTGATCACTGATTTCTCTCTCAACCTCAAAGGTCATTTAGTATATACCTGAATTGTGCTTGTGTATGATATGCAGGCTAATCAAGTAGGCACTGTCACGGAAGCCATAGAGGTTGTGAGACAGGCAAAGGATGCTCATTGGGGCGTAATGGTGTCACATAGGTCCGGGGACACTGATGATTCTTTCATTGCTGACTTGGCTGTTGGTGCTGCTGCTGGACAGATCAAAGCGGGTGCTCCTTGCCGTGGAGAATGTCTCAGTAAATACAATCAGGTTTGTTTTTTGGGTTAGTTAGATTCATGCCAGAGCAACTTTTATGGTTTTGAAATATACCATTACCATTCACATATTTGCACACCGGCATCTGCTATAGAAATTGATAAGTCATAGTACAATAGCCTTTTGTTGTCGATGGGATGGTTTCTGATTATCGTGCTCATCTTCTCTGCAGCTGCTTAGAATAGAGGAAGAACTTGGAAGTGACGGTGTTTATGCAGGGGAAAATTGGAGAACCACCGCAAGCACAAGCTGACTTACAGCGTAGGTACATGAGGTGCAGGTTCCATCTTGACCTGCCTTAATGTGCTGAGCTTTCCATGGTTGGCTTGCTCAATTGTGTTTTGTTCTGGCTCGGCAAAGAGCATGGAACAGGACAGCCAAAGAAACGGGAGGGGAACAGTTTGTATTATTGGGCATTTGGGCACCACATTTTTTTTTTCCGTAGGTGTAGTGGATGAACTTGCGGAGCATTACCTATTTTAGTGATGTTTGACTGCGAATTCATTTCTTTGTGGTGAGCATGGACGTGAGTAAAATGAGTTGAGAAAGGGATTTTAAGAAATAGAGGTTTTCTCCGTTTTTTCTTCTCAGTTTACCCCATACCGTCTTGCTCTTCTTTTTTTTTCCCCTAGTACAAGGTGAACACAATTACACGCACTTGTGGATACGCACACCCACTTTGGGTCCTGCTACCTCCTTAAGCTACTATCACACATTTCAACAAAATTGGAGGTAGCGTAAACATGATCATCGAATGCACTCACATATGCAAATTAATTGGTCCTTGAAAATAACATGGAGTTTGTTTTAAAATGCGGTTTGTCCTTTTCTTGCTTTGGAACGCTAGCAGTTAAGAGAGGTTCTTAAACTTCGTGTGTTAACGTATGGAAAAAAAATGAAAATCATGTCAGTAGATTTTCAGAAGTATTTCTGTATATTTATATCTTTCTTTTTACCATGCAGTCGGGGAACAAAAAGTAATACTCAAATGTGGCCAATTTTGATATTAAACTAACTAGTCTAATTTCCTGCGCAATTTTGCATGACAGCCGCCAAAATGTTAAAAAGAAAAATGGAGATAATTTTCGGGGCTAATAAACCGAATCGTGTTCTTTCGACGCTATCATGATCGTTAGTGCCGCATACCAATTTTATGAAAAATCCACCCCCACCCCCCCCCCCCCCAAAAAAAAAAAAAAGAGAGCAAGACGACTGAACAGATAAACACACGCTCAAAAAGCAATCAACAAAATAGAGTACGGTATATCAGTACTTGCACAACGATTTCTTTGAAAGGGACATGATATTCATGGTTCACCAATGTGATCGAGTCTAGCACAGCAGAGGACACGAAATTGATAGGTCCCGGTATCCTCAGAACTGGAACATGGCATACAAGCAGGTTGTAAAACAGAGGGCTTCCGAATTTTCGCCCTCAAGCCTCACTGGAGATATGGTACATTCAGGAGGAATCTGCAGCGGCCGGTGGTGGTGCCGGCTGTGCTTCGGCGCGCTTGACTGATGCGCATTTGATCAGATGGTTGTAGCTCCCTTTCTCCTTGAAAAGTTGGGAGAAATGGTGCTTGCAGTATAGGATACCTTCCAAAGCTGCATAATTGGATGGCGAAATGGCACAGCCACCGTGAGAACATTTGAAGCAGGACTTGTGGTAGGCCTGTCCTTCAACTGTCACCTGCAAATAAAAGCTTATCATCACAACCACTGCATGTTCCAAAGACTTGAGGAGCATAATTGAAATAAATTCTTGGTAAATAAGTACAATCAAGGCAGAACCTTACAACTTGTTACAGTAGAACAATACAATTAGGCGGAATAATGTACCTAAAAGATCCCTCTGATCATTCATCCCTATTTCAACATCTAACAATGCAATTTTGGAAGAAATGACCTAACAACACTACAGTATGAAACTAAGATGAAAAGAGCAGAAATTATGGGGCATTACCTTCTCTAGAGGATACGCTGTTTTACTGCAAGTGGCACACTTCTCCTGTGTCCCTGAAAACATGCGTGCGGCTTTGCTAGGTGATCTTGTCTGAAATGAATGTTTCAGACAAAATTAGTTGAAAAGCGAGGTAGCATCACATAGAAACATAGAAGTACTTTGGAATGAAAACAGACAAGCAATGCATGCAGCCAATGGCACTCACCAGCTCAGGAGTCAACTTCTCCGATGCGGGTTTCGCGGCTGCATAAAATTGAACAAATAAGCAGGGCCAGAGCATCAGAATTCATAACACATTTTATCAACAAAATAAACAGGTTGTCAATGTTCGCAATTTTGGAATTCAATAGTAGCCTACGTGATTGGAAGCTCTTGTTGTAGCTCCCGGTCTCCTTGAACAGTTGCTCGAAATGGGGCTTGCAGTATGGCACTCCTTCAATCGAGGAGTAGTTGCCAAGCTGTAAAATCGCAAAGCGAGATAACCAGAACGATTGTCAGACTGACGCAAATCTTTGCCTGAACAAGCACGACTACTCCTAACTGATTAATCAAAAGCCGACTTTTCTCATGATCCTCTTTTACCAAGTCAGCAGATGTGAAACGGACAAAACCATGATCTCTCAAACACGAAATTCGAGCAGGAAAACCCAAGCACCAGATCCATTCACGACATCAATCCACAGATCTACTACTACTGCTTGCGACATTACAGATTGCACTATCCTACAGATCCATCTTTACTTTTCCCCCGGCCATAAAAACGTCTTTTTCCCTCTTCTGCTTTTTTTTTTCACCTCCAGAACAAAAGAACAGGTAGGAAGCGAAAGAAAAAAGAAAAAGCATATATGCGCGCGATCAGGGAGGAGGAGGGGACATACGGAGAGGGTGGACTTGCAGTGTTGGCACTTGAAGCAGGAGCGGTGGAAGACGACGCCGTCGGTGGAGAGCTGGTCCATCGGGTACACCGTCTTGGTGCACACCTTGCACTTCTGCTGCGTCCCGCTAAACATCGTAGCCTCCTCCTCTCCTCACCCTCTCTCTTCCTGCTGCGGCGGCGGAGGCGGCGCGGCGAGCTGGAAGATCTGAGCCCGATCTGATCTCCTCCCGCGCTGAAACGAGCACCCCTCGCGGCGTCCCTCCCAATGGCCGGCCGCGGTTATATAACGCGGGTGAGCAATGGGATTTTGAGGATTTTTTGGGCGTCTCAAGTCTCAACTCGCGTCGACGCCGCCTCACTTTTGCCGCGACGGAAAGGAAAAAGGAGAGAGCGGGTCAGTGAGACCGATGGGCCCCGCGAGGTGCAGCGCTCATTAACAAAAATACGCAATTATTACTGCCATTAGTGGTGTCCCCGTGCGGCTTAGCCTACGCGCACGCAGCGGCTTGCTTACAAAGCGGCCACTCGTCTCGCTGCAAGTGGGGTCCCGGAGACGAGGGGGTCCACATGGCATCGAGCCTTCTACGGCTCCGCCATTGCAGTAGAGGTGTGTCATCAATAGGCAGCAGCTGTAGCCTGTAGGACGAGGAGAGAGAGAGAAGTGCAGCAGAAGCAACGCAACGACGACTGCTAGCTGCGTCCGCATGGATGGTTGGGGGGGGGGGGGGGGGGGTGGGGGACGGGGCATGGGGCCCGCGTGCCAGGCTCTCAGTGGATGATGGCGTGATGACAGATACTTTCATCGCGTAGTGGTGCGGCCCACGACGTCGGCCAGCCTTCTCCGGCTGCCTCGTCGGACTATCCCCTTGTACCTTCTCCTCCATTGGCATTTGTTGCTTGGAATTAGAGCAGCACATTATGCCCTGCATAGCGCATTGCAGTACACCGTAGTTTTCCTTCCGTCTCATAAACAATAAATCAACTAGATGTGATGCATTCTAGTATAATAAATCTAGATAGATGTGTATCCAAATATTATGTCGGTATTTTATAGGATGGAAGGGTACTCTCTCTCCATTTTATCGAAAAAAAAAACATTGCAGAGAGAAAGGACGATTTCTTGTATTGATACGTGCACCGCCGAGTTCGGTCCTCTACGTCGATGGTGAGACGCTGAATTGTGGGCCCATCACAGCAGGCGAGTAGCATTGGCACGGCAGTGGCCTGTGGCCAGCTCTAGCTTAGCTTAGCAAACGGACAAGGTATCAATGCATCATTTACTCCAATGACACCTGTGTTACACCTACGGCTCGTTTTAGCAACTCTTGCTTTTAAGCGTGATTTGGGTCAGGAACGTACGATCTGCTGGTGGGCATCACCATTCGTCCACTGGATCATAACTTGGCAAGCATAGCGTGACGTTTTTTTTAATATGTTGCAACCAATTTAAAAATGTAACCTTTTTCCCCAATACTTTAGCAAAGAGAATAATAGATATAATAGGAATGTAGGATTCAACAAAAGAATTACCCCATTCAAGCCTTGTTCAATTAATCCCTTCCTCAAGAGAATTGAAGGGGATTTGGAAATAATTTATTTCATATGTATTGTAGTGTGAAATTATTTTCTCTCAATCCTTTTCTCTTAGGATTAAACGAACCAAGCTTCAAAGGGGAAAAAACATTCGCTGTTGCTGTTCAACAAAACATATGGCAAGATATAGGAGTAGATGCATCGCACAGCTCATCCAACAAGAACATGATTCCGGTCAACCAGGCTTGCAACGACACAAGAATAGGATTTGAAGCATGTCCTCTCATCGTCTTTGCCCCTGGCAACCACCGAGTCCGACGAACACGCCATTATTACGATGCCCGGCACCAACCGGAAATACGGTCAACAGCTTGACGGCGTGACGCCAACCGAATCACAGGCGAACTGCGAACAGCATTAGCCTAAATGCCGAATGGCATCACTAGGATGGGGAACAACCTTAGCCTAGATGCCAAATGACCTCACTAGCCTATCACCTGGTGTCCTGCTTTATCCGTCCTAAAATATAACAACCTACTCCTTTGTCTTAAAATATATATAGTAACTTAGGAGAATAATGTACTAACCCTCTCCGGTCCAGATTAATTGTACTAGGTTGTGTCTAATTATTTGCTAGGTTGCTATTATATTCTTAGACAGAGGAAGTAATTAGCTCATGCGACATTATTAGGTTTAGTGTCATTTTAGTCATGGAAGTTTTTCAGATAAGATGGAACCAATGGATTTCATACGGTAGAACGGGAAAATATACGGTGGAAACCACATATGTAGTACCATTGGTAAAAAATAGACATATTAGATTTGTCCAAGTCATCGCGAGTAAAAATTTTACTTGCAGATTTACTCATAATGACGTGGACAAATCTCAGACATTTATTTTTTGATCCAACGGTAGTTTTCAGTTTTCTACTATATATATGTGGTTTTCCTAGGTAGAACAGTTAGCTATATACTCCCTCCATTCCAAATTGATCTACATATTTTATAGGTACACCAAGACCAAGAAAAGCTAATAACTCTCTCATACTATATTTACTCTAGCAACAAACTCGATGTATACACCATCCCTAATATTTCTTAGCCAATAGCAAATCAAGATATTGCATGTGGGTTATAAATACTTGTGTGCATAGATGCATGCATCAATGTCCATTTACTCCAATGTACAAATAACGAATACTCAATAAATGAACACAAATATGTAGATCATTTAAGAATAACTTCAAAAAAAACTATATTAGATCAATTTGGAATGGATGGAGTAGCATCGAAGCTGTCTGCAGAGACGCAAGCAAAAAACTACGTGGGATCAAAGAATAACAATGGAATGATGGAATCAAAATCAGTTGTCATAAATAGTTCAGACCTTCAGGGTACTGATAACGTTCGGTGCAACCATGTTATACTAGCAAATCATAATGATTCCTCCCACTGTATAACAGTCTTACTGGCACCTTTTTCTTCCACTGTTTTGAGTCCTTGGAGAATTCCAGTCCATACTCTGCTATAGGAATAAAACCATTTCCACGCCCATGGTACTGTTACACAAACAGGAAAGATGTAAGTCGAGCAGCTGAAATGGGGGATTGTAAAGGCTAGCTATGAAAGAAAAGCAACATAAGATTGTTTGCAAGGAAACAGACAATAGTGCAATGAGTACATCCAACTAGCAACTCCAAACTGGAGGATGGGTCAGTTATAAGCAAGAAAAATGCAAAGAGAAGCATTCAGACGTTCACTATATTTTCATTAAGTTCCATCCATCAGTTGCAAATGCATTCCTATGTTCTGTAATTTTTTTTCCTCTGAACCTAAAAAATATCTAAATTCTGAACCTCTTAGGATTCAGAGCATTACAACAAGATAACAGAAATATAGAATGAAATCCAGATGTTTGGAATCACTTTAGCAGATCATCTCACTCTCAACCATTCATCATGAAGCACAAGTAAACCTTGGCACATTGCCTATTCTAGCTGTCTTCTCGGTACTTTAACATTCCCAGATCTAATTTGCATGGTGACGGAAGGTCCTAAAATTAATTGGTCTACCAATATCTGGTGTCTATTTTTTCTCTTGCAATAAAGTCTATTAGAAACAGTACGAATTCATGGTTTGACACCCATTTTGCCTTCAACGATATGCCAACTGTCTCTTTGAAATGCTGGTTATGGTCTCATATTAATGTCCAAAACAACATTTATTTTGCAACCATCTAGAGATAGATTTAATTAGAAATACTCTCTTCTTTAAGGCACAATTCACAACATGTTTACATTTTTGGGTCACACATTCATGTATATGTGTTATCCATGTATATAGAGGCTTACCTCACGCTCTGGAATATAAATAATGATTGGCTGCCGACACAATTTAGACAAAACCTGAAACATCAATATGTCAGATGTAGAATAGATTTGTATGAAACGACCATATGTACTGATACAAAGCAAGAGATGCCCTTACACTCTACTATGAAACAGGTAGGGATGAAAACGGATCGGAAACGGACGGAAACTAGCTTTATCATATTCGTTTTCATATTTTTTTTTCGGAATCGGAATCAAAAACTCGGATACGGAAATGAAATCGGATATTATCGAATACAGATACGGAGCGAATACGAGACGGAACGAATACGGTAGCAAATATTTACCGGTATATAAAAAACCCCTCAAATTGAGGTTCTTGATAAAGGAAGAGATATCGCTTATTATTTTAGTTCAACATCTCCAACATTTATATCATCAATTTTGTATACGGTCCCACAACTGTATGTGAAAATCGATTTTCATGGCTGTTCCTTTAAGAGATCCATATGCAAATATGATTATCATTTTCTATTCCCAAGACCTTTTACTAGATGTATAACTTACTTACCAGTGTATAAATTGGAGATGTTATTTATTTTACTTCACATCTTCGAAACTTGTAATGTTTGTATTATACTTTAAATGCTTTCAAATACAAATGTTATAAACTACAAAGTGGTAGATCCGTTGAGCTCTACAATTTTGATATGGAACACATCTCCATCAGATGTCGTTTGAATTGTAGATCCGAGATTTTGTAAAAATTAATATGGTATATTATAATGAATATTTAGACCTTTAAATGACCTCAAATAATAAAATAGTCAATAATAAAGTTGTAGATCTCATCGAGCTCTACAATGTTGATATAAAGTTTGTCTTCATCTGATTCCGTATGAAAAAGTTATAAATATATACGTGTTTTTTCTAAAATTTGCTCAATGTCTGCGGATATCCGAAAAAAAAATCCGGATAGTTTCCGAGCGTTTTCCGATTCCGACGGATAGTACCCTTACTGTATTCGTTTTCGTTTCCGAGAAAAAATATCCGAATTCGTTTCCGAATCCGAAAATTTCTGAATAATTCCGACCGAAACTATCCGAATCCGAAAAATGGTTCGGATGGACGGAAACTATCCGAACCAGTTTCATCCCTAGAAACAGGTAAACCTACTTTTGGTAGAATCTTCAGAGCGAAACGATCAAACAATATTATATTTTTTGGCACACTTAAGGAGCGATGCATAAACATGGTGCACATACTTTTTTTAGAGTATGATACATATACTAGAAACAGGTGTTCTATATGTCTAAATGATGTATGGTTGCTGTTTATATTAATAGTGCATGCTAACTTTAGAATTATGAAAACTATACCAAGAGTTCTGACTCTCCACCCCAGAAATCAGATCGCCTTATTCTATGGCAGTAGCTGCAAAACCAGGATAGTCAGCCTCTTTATCACAGGTCATGCCATAAAAATGAATTGAGGACATAAGAATCTAACCGCCTCAATGATTCATCCACAGTAATTGCTATAACTGCCTCTTCATATTTTTGTCGTTCAGTCTCATCATCGCAGATAACTTCTTTTACTGCCATCCGTAAATCATCTAGGAAATTGAAAAAGGATATCAACACAAAAGTATATTAAAATAATATATCATCTTCAAACTTCGAACTTCAATGGAAATCTGTGCGCAAAATCTTCAGCTCATTAGGTGAAAGATGGGTAGTGTCATAAGTTTATTTGGAGAGTGAAGTTGCTCATGAAAAGTCATACTTGACAAGGCTGCTGGGTAGAGAGGATATACTGGGAATTTGCCACTTTGTAAGAGGGGATGTTGTGAGAGGGATTAAACTCGTTTGGTGCAGAGTGGAAAAAATTTAAATGCCCCCTGGATAACGGAACATTTAATTTTTTGCCACTCCAGATTTATCTTTTTGTCACGTCACAAGTCACATATGCGAAAGTGGCACATAGGGGGGTGGTATTACTGGTAAGGGAACATGGAAACTGGTAGGGAACATTTTACTGAGACAGTTTCAGCAATGACAGTTTTACTGAGACGAAACTGGTAGGAAACATGCATTCTTAAATGCAAGAATTCTGTTCTAGACATTCTTCGACCAAAACAATGACCTCTTGAGGTGCCAACAAGAAATGTCTGAACAGTGGTGGCAGCAAATTATGCCTAACTAACTTGATGTTTCAAACAGTAGCTAGGTTAATTTCCTACATAAGTTACGGTCAGAAGTTAAAACTTCTGCCATGGAACGAACAATATGGAAATCCTAAATTAATGCATGCTTTAACAAAGTTGTTTTGAAGCCAAAGATAAGAACTGCAATGCAGTCTAATTTATGCAATTGATGGACAAGTGGGCTACTCGAATCTCACAAGAATAATAGGAGCTCTCTCTTTATATGCCTTGTGTTGACAAGTTTTCCCTCCTTTTTGTAGTGGATGTTCTGTTTTCTGAATAAGCATTATTTAAGTTGTAGGAGTGCGCTGAACAAAATAAAATTTTAAAAAATGATTTATGTATCAAAAGATTACGGTAGCATCTAAGGGTGAGTTTGAGAGATAGGGGATTGAGAAGATTGGGAAGATACGCAAAACGAGATGAGCCATTAGCGCATGATTAATTGAGTATAAACTATTTTAAATTTCAAAAATGGATTAATATGATTTTTTAAAGCAACTTTCCTATAGAAAATTTTTGCAAAAAACGCATCATTTAGTAGTTTGGGAAGCGTGCGCGCGGAAAACAAGGTGTTTTCTCACCCTATCTCACACAAACGAACACAGCCTAAATATACTTTCCTCAGAGCTATTGCAGTTACTTTCGTAAATGTAAATTCAAAGCTCTAGAGATAGCTCAGCTGCACAGGCTGTCTCAAACAACTGTGAATATTTATCCATGAACAAAGCATAATTGCAGGTTACCTGCATCTTGTACCTCCTCCCTTGAGGTCAATGGAATCCCCTTGTTCTTTGCCATTCCTTTCACCTACGAGGAGACACACCAGGGTTTCCTTGAGAATCCAGAGAAATTCCCAATGCGCAATTGAACAGGACAAGACGTACCAACGCCCGAAACATGCACCGGCCATCACCCGTGACCCTCTGGACCCCGTAGTGCTCCACCTTGTTCAGCGCCCCCGACCACCCGCCCCTCCTGCAATCCCCCGGACGAATCACACACAACCCTACCGCGACACAAAGATCAGCAGAGGAGGAGAAAGGGAAACCAGCCGTACGTACAGGGAGGTAGCAACCCTAGAAAAGCAGCTGAGGCCGGGCCAAACTGGAGCAGGAGCGGGCGAGGCCGCGGCCGCGGCCGCGGAGTCCTCGAGGAGCTCGAACCTCGCCTCGCCGTCACGGAGCCGCGCGAGAAGGGTGGCTGCAACATCCAGCACAAAATCAAAGCCATGCGCGCGAACTAGGATAAGCCATACCATCGAGTAGAGAAAGGCGAGCGACCGACGCGCCGACCATTGCACGGCCGCACCGCTTGCGCCATCGGAGCGCAATCTGCAGCCACCACCAGCAGATGAGCAGAGAAGCGGAGAGGAAGAATTCTGCAAGAGTGGGCGGTGTTTGCCGTCTTGTGCAGATATGCGGCCGAGGAGAGGAAACGGACGGGGGCCCAGTTATCAACGGGGACTTTGTTGTTGGGCCTTCGGCCGCATACGCGACGTTCCGGGCCTGCAAACGAACACCCGAGTACGCGCGCCGCCGCGAGATGCACCGCGCGCGCGGTCAAATTCCGTCCTCCTGGCATCTCACGCGCACGTCCACCTCTCGCTAAGCCAATCGACCCACCCACCAACCTCTACACCTCCCTGCAGATATTTATCCTCAGAAGTCACAAAAATATCTCGTCCATATCCACCCGCGGCGCGGACCACGCAGCCATCACGCCAATATAGCCCGAGCACCCGCACCACAGTCCCCTCGTCGTCCTTGGACTGCTTGAAGCTTACACGAGCGCTAGCTAACGAAGGCACAGCGCGCTTCGCGCGAAAGATCGGAAGAAATGTCGAGGCCGGCCAGGAGCGACGCGCACCTGTCCCCGGAGGGGGAGGCGGCGATGGAGGCCGAGGTGCGGGAGTACTACGACGAGGCGGCGCCCAAGCGCCACTCCAAGCCCTCCCGCAGCGAGCCCTCCGCCGTCTACACCGACGCGCTCGTCCCCGACGACTCCCACCCCGAGCTCGACAGGTTCCAGCAGCTCGAAGCCCACACCGAGGTCTCCCAGTCCCAACTCTCAACTGCACTTTCATATATGTGTCCCACGAAAGCTTAGAGTTGATCTTACGGTGTTATTACGTGGTGGTTTGCTGCTGCAGAAATTGGTGTGCGAGGGTGGCAAGGCAGGGGATGAGTTCGTGGAGACGGAGTACTACAAGGATCTCGGCTGCGTCGGCAAGCAGCACCACACGGTACGTAACGTCGCTGCCTAGTTCCCTCATGCTTCCATCCATTAATTCGAACTGATCACAGTGCACTTATGATCTTAATTTGTGTGTGCACTGTCAATATCCTGCAGACTGGAACAGGGTTCATCAAGATGGACAAGCCCTCGGCGGACGCCTCGTTTCATCTGTCTGATGACCCAGATGCATCGGAGCGCCATGCCTCCTGCAAGGGAAATCCTGCTACAAACGAGTGGATCCCATCAGCTGACACGGTAACTGTACTTGTTTAAGTTGTCCAATGCTGTATACATGCCTGTTCTTCAGCAATTATCAACAGAGTTTGGTTGAAATTCTGTTCAAGAAGCATCAGTAAGCAAGCAACCAGTTGTTGGTTTCAGGTGTATCCGGCGTCAGACAAGCCCAACAGAAGTGACAGCTGAGCAACGCGCGCTCTACATGACTACACGTACAGCCAGATGTATGCATTCCACCAGCATATAAAGAAGCCACACTTGGTTATTCACATAGGACACATGCATCTTTACTGTTCTGCAAGGAGTTTCTTGTGGTGTTAACCGTGTTGTACTCCCAAGAACTTGTGCTTCGATCACAGATTTGTGTTTGGGGGCAGCAAGTATTACAGGAAATAAAAACAGCATTATTATGTTATGGTCTAGTAGCTGGTCATTATTTTGTTAAGCAGCCACTGCCTAGCCACACTAATTTTGGATACACTGCTTATCCAAACCCTTTCCCCGCAACCAAAACAGATCGGCGAGGAAAATGATAAAAGCAACAAAAAAAAAGTACCAAATTGGATTAGCAAATTACAGGGTGGAGTACACATCAACACTTCCAGATGTTGCTATCGCGAGCACTTCGGCGGATCAGTCCCGGTGTGCAGAGGCAGCCGCGGCGTCGTGAGGCGGCTGGAGGCGGAGGCGAGCGAGCTCGGCGTCGATGCGGCCGGTGAGGATGAGGGCGAACATGCGGAGGTCGCAGAGGAAAGACCAGACGGGGTGGCCGAACGTGGCTGGCCGGTTGCCCTCCACGAAGAAGTGGCTGTACCACGCCATACCGTAACCCAGGACGGGCGCGGCGAGGAGTGGCGCGGCGCGGCCGGAGACGGCCGCGAGGAGCGCGCAGGCGAGCGCGGCGAGCGTGCCGAGGAAGTGCCACCGCCGGGTGCCGGGCTTGGAGTGCTGGGTCAGGTAGAACCCCCAGAACTCCTCCATGCTACCGAACCCATGGCTCGCCGCCGCCTCCTGCTCGCCCCTCCCCATCGCGTGCTGGTTGCCTGGTTTTGGTTGCGGCTTCGGAGACGTGTACGTATACCCACCCTGCCACCCACCCGCGAGAAGGCGATTTTTTTCTGTGGAAGAAAAGGCAATCCTTGATTGTTAATTCTGCTGGCGCGAGTCTCAATCGGGGAGGATGGCGCAGGTCACGATCGGGGAGGATGGCGCGCAGATCGAAGGAGATTGCTGGCTCACAAGAACACGCGCCCGACAACACGACGATGTCCACGAGGACCTGTGCTGGGATATTAACCCGCGATTGATTGGATTTGCAGAAGGTAGGAGCAGTGCAGTACTCCGTACTCCCAAGGATTATTCTCTTTTGAATAAGATTAAGCAAGAATAGAATGCCCTTATTAAATAAGATTTGTTTGTGGGACGTAAACTTTTATTTCTCGAGGGGACTTCTTCTCGTTGTTTATTAAAATTTTTTAAAAGACATTGACAACTGTTAACGACCAAATTTGGTAATATCAGCATCGGGGGTGAACATGGGATCGAAGCGGAACCAAAGATAAGGGTTGTTGCGGGAACAGAGTAAGAATCGGCTGGAGTCCAGATCGGCTACGACTAGAATCGGCTAAATCTGAATCAGACTGGGTTAGGTGATACAGCCGATTCCGGCAATATGACTCGTATCCAACATTGGGTTTGAGTTGATATGCTTCAAGATGATTGCCGCACGTGGATAGAGTCCTGAAAAGGTAATTATATCTATTAATTAGGATGTTTTATGTAATTTCCTTAGAGATATGTTTAGGGCAAAAGTCTGCCGCAAAGACTTATGGTATCTTAGAGTTTGTTAGAGATAATAGTCGTGTCCGGTATGGACATATCTTATAATTCTCGGGTATAAATAGACCCCGAGCCCTATGTAATAAAAAACACACACACGTTCAATACAATTTCGGCGCATCGCCACCTTTTTGCTTTAGTTTTATTTCGACGAGTTCTTACTTTCGGGTTGAGCTGCATCGGTTTTGATCTTCAACAAGAGGTAAAACTTGTTATGACGGCTTGTATTCTCGGGATTAGTGCTTCCATCTTTATGATACTCTAATATTGTTTACGTAATTCATCGAGTTATCATATATCGTACATAATCTCTTGCAATATCGCTATCTAACCTACAATCGGCTAACATCTGTTAGTAGAGCGCAGCCGATTAGGTTAGATTTTGATGTTGATTTAGATTATATAAGATATCTACCACTCTATGAAACTTCCAGCGGCTTGATTGTCTAGATATTGTTCTTCTTTTCATACTTAATGCTGCATCAGTTGAGTTTGATCTATTAAGTCGTGCTTAGAATATCAATCTCTAGCCCGCCTTCTGGTTGCCGATTAGGGTAGTATCGGAGTTTCAGCCGATCTTATCTGATTTAACCATATTCGCTCTATATGCTTCAGTGACATGTTAAATCCGCCCTTTATGTCAAGATCTTATTGCATTTAAGTATATCAAGCTTTTGTTTGATATATTATACTTGTTTTAATATCCTGATATAGAGTAGTATCGGAGTATTAACCGATACATGCTAAATTTATATGATCGGCTATGCTATAAACATATATAGTCCTGTTATTAATATATAGTTTGATCCAAGTGATTTATACTGTCTTGGCATGGCGACCGATCTATCTCAATCACTTGATTTAAATATATATCGATATAAGAACTATATATTGGTAATATCTACAGCCGATCGAGTAGGTTTAGTTCTTTATTATCTATTTATAGTCGCCGATCGATTTACATATGACATCGGCTCAAAGATAAATGATATGTCATCGGCACTTAGCCGATCAGCTATCATTTATAGATTTAACCGCGATCTCTTTGTTTCTATTTCTTGTTGATTGTAGAATCAAATCAACTGGCACGCTAACACACCCGAAGGCGAGCTTTGGACCTGCACTGGAGTTAAGCAGATCTCCCAGGCCTCGTGTTTTACGTCAACAACAACATAGATTAATATGAAATATACCAGTCCACAAATATGAAAGACCAAATTCAACTTCTACAAGTTGCAATAAAAATAACAAATTAAGCTGAGAATAGTTATCGCACATTCGCAACTATATTTGTTATTTTTGTTGTAACTTGTAGAAGTTCAATTTAAACTTGCAATGTTTGTGGAGTGATATATTTCATATTAATCTATATTGCCAATTTTTTTATATTTTTTATAGCTATTTAGGTGATATGCACGAAACGAGAGGATATCCCCTCGAGGGATGAAATCACTTTCCCTTGTTTATGGATGAGTGGATAGTTGAAGGTTAAAATAGATAGAAATTTGAATTTGAGTTGATTGATGTGACAAGTATTACACCAAAATCTTTTATATTGTGGGATAATTGGAAGGAGCAAAATCCTATATTACGAGACATAGGGAGTATCGATGCATTGTTTGTGTTGCTACCGAGTACCGACTTTAGTACAACTGTACAAGTAGTCAAGTACTATAAAACAAAATTACGGGATGTTAGCCCTCATTTTGAAACTGTGATCCAGGAATTTCACAACAATCAATTCATACAGGAATCGAAAACCATAAAAATAGCCAGAATATAGCGTATACTGCATTAAGTGTTCAGAGTAAGAAAGTTATCGACGCATACCATTCCATTGTCGTATGTGTTCATGTATGTATACTCCGCACAAGACAAAATTTACACAAATTAACAGGCCTACTACTTCTACTGAATCACCATAAACAAGACCGAAATAATGGTGGGGAGCAAGATACAGCCTTCAGCAGTTTACAGCCTCCAATAGAGCAACAATTTGACAAAATAATGCCTATCTGATGGAGAACTAGAGGAGTAAACTGCGTCTTTCAATCATAACAGACGGGCCAGAATAGCACACGAAAGGTAAAACCCCGAAGCACGTGTACATCTCTACACATAAACAATGAATTGAATGGACTCGTGGTGTGTATAAAGCAAAGAAACACAACCAGCAAGAAAATTGCTGCGTCTTACAGACATCACGATGATTGAATTTGGCCTCCAACAAGGACATGTGCCTGTCAAATGCTAGGGAGCTCAAAAAAGGTTATGTGCACTACTAAGATCACAGAAGGAACCTCCCCAGACGCCATATGTATGCCCGTTTACTCCGAATCAGCTTTCGAGAGCATTATGTCACAGGACTCATAGCTATCACGAATTCACATACAGAACAGGGACCAGACCTGCTGTCTTTCCATCCCTTCCGGGTCTCTTCTTCTTTACCTGAAGATACAGCAATAATAACCAATATTAAAATGTTTTTGCGCATGACTAAAGAACAAGAAAAACTAGAAAGTGAGAAGAGAACTTACATAGTACCAACCATCGACCTCATATTCGATTTCCACATCTTCTCCAGCAGTTAAACTCAACTGAAAGAAATTTACATGGATAAACTTTCTTTTGTGTGCATTCCAAGACAAGAAATAAGAGCCAGCTTAATCACTTCAAATAATTTACTTGTGCTTTCATTTGGTCTTCTCTTTTACTACAGAACTCGCTTATCAAATCATAAATTTAAAAAGCTATCTCAATTAATTAAGATATTAAGTTCTTGTAACAAATGAAAAGCACGAGGTTCGCTTCACTGAAATAACTATGTTTCACAACAGCTAATGCCTATCAAGCTCTGATCAAGGAAGCATTGAAGCTCAGGATGTTACGTTATAGCCAACCAAGACAATTTCAGCCTCCATACCTCATCATCGCCACCTGCTGTGAAGTCATACAGTGCTTTCCCAGATTGAGGGTTCCCTGAACTCCTGTCTTCGTCCTCATGGGATCCAAAACTCCGACCACCACGCCCAGCAAGGGGGTTTTCGAATGACTCACGTTTCTGTAGAACTGATGTTGAATATGATGGTGGTTCTTCACGTATCTGAAACAAAACGCAAACCGATGCTCTTTAAGCAAATGATGCCATCTGGAAATCTATTGTTATGAAGCAGCAGCGAGGTTCCTACATCAATAGCTAAGTTTGCTGTTCGGTGACTTGATTTCCAGATGGTGAATAAGTAAAAGCTTTTGTTTTCTTATTTAAAGTTTAATTAAATTAAATATGCCCATCTCAGCATGCATACATTTGATTTCATAGGTTTTCAGTACGTTATTTTCCAACAGTTATTAAGTGTGAAACCCAATAATGGAGATCACTTTAACACTAAAAAGACTAAGTAAAAGAATACCGTTTGTTGTGAAGCCCCATATCCTGATGGTTTTGAACTGAACAACGACGGATAGTTCATGCCACTAAAATGGGACGATATGGATGTTTCTACAGAACCAGTTGACTCAGGAGAGGATCCCCCAGATGATCTTCCATCATCATCCTGCAACATATAAAAACAAATTGAATTATTTTGATACTTTCTATCAATTCAAAACATCTGAAATCAGGTACTCCCTCCGTCCTACTCACTAAGGCGCGCACGCATTTTAAGATTCAACTCTCTAAATATTTGACCAATAAATAGTTTATTATAAATTAAATTTTATTTGATGAAAATAATATTATTGGAATGTCATTTCAATTTTCTTTCATATGATTATGATTTTGTTGCTACAAACATTATAATATATGAGAAATTTAAAGTTAAAGATTAATTTTGAAGACTGTGTCAAGTTTAACCGCGCCTTAGTGAGTGGGAATGAGGGAGTAGCTCGATAATGCTTTAGCACTTGCCTCTGCTTCATATGTTTCAAGAATTGTCTTGGCCCACATATCATCATAACCGACTGATGGCCTAGAATTCATGTATTCCTCATCATCCACATCAGGAGCATCAGTTCCAGCGCCAGCAAGGAAATCCTTTACCTGCATAAGATCCAAGAAGAAAGAACATAAACGATACAAAGAATTGTTCTCGAATTCAGGAAAAGGGGAACTTGCACGTGTATGAATTGATAGGAAGCAGAAACGTATGAATTAACAGCAAAGCAAAGTAAAAAACCATACTTTATCCACAGCTGGTGCGTTGTTTTCCCAAACATCATCTTCCAAACCTGCTGCCCAGGCCATAGCCAGATCAGGGTCAATTCCAGTCTGTATAAGAGTGGCCTCTTTGGGCACATCTTTGGGCTCATACATGAGATCAGATATGCCAGTAGCAACAGCA